TATATTGTCTGTCTTGTTCTAATTCTGCAGAGATTTATGGGATTTGTACATTGCTTTATTATCTAATCTGTTTCTTGGAGGTAAAGTATGATTTACATTGTAAAAGAAGGAGGTTAGATTATGTTCAATATTACAGTACAGCACATATTTCTGCCCAGAAGGGTTAGAAAAGACAAACAAATGTGAGAATTTTAAATAATAATAATAATAAAAAAGTAAATAAAAGTAAACATTCATCACCGGAACGGGGGACAAGTACTTGGATTTTTTTTTAAGCTGATCTGAAAGTCTACCAGTGAGTGTGAATGGCTTTAGTTTCTTAGTTTTATCTCTTTATAATCAAGTACAAGCAAACTGTACAAGTACATGCAACAAACAAGCTGGCCTACTGTATGTGGAACTAACACATGTATCTATTTCTGTAGTATTTTTTATGTTTTCCTTCTGTTTTTGTCTGTTTTACAAAAAAAAAAAATGTGCATGCAGCTCGGAAACAGTTCTGAGTCATGCTCCGCCCCCCTGATGGGAGGGGCCAGTGGCCGGACACACCATTGGTGTTGATAAAAGCGATGGCAAAATCTGATTGGTCACTTTAAACATTGAAAGATGCATGAGGGGAACTGGCTTTACACTTACTGATATTTTTTTCCGGAAAATTAAATGCCGTGAAAATGAAGTAATGAATTCATTAGATTCTCTTTGTCTTTATGAAAGAATTAAGCTCTTGTGCTCGCACTCGAATCGTCTCTGTTCATGCAAGGGGATCCAACATGGGCTGAGCTAAAACTCACTCCTACAGTGAATTACGTGCTGTGGGCTGTGAATTACGTCAGGGTGGCACGTTTCATGTTTTATGCTGTTGCTGTTGAGAGAAAACCTGCAGGCAATTTATGATTTATATTTACAATTACAAGGCTAACAGTAAAATGAAGTACTTCTGGAAGAACCTGATCTTACAGACATTCATAGGAATAATTTTAGAGAAGGGCTGATTTCATGGAATGAAATAGCAGAGCAGCTATGGCTGGTAAACCCACTTCTAGCAACTTGCACCAATTATTCAAAAGATATGCCTAATTAAATTATTACGATGCAAGCAAAGTCATCCAGAGTGGTTTGATGTGAAATGTTCTGTTCTAGAGAAAATCAGAATTGTGGTGATAGGAACCAGACGTCTGAAGAATTTAAAATTTTACACAAAATGGTTGGTCTGATGCCTGAGACACTGAGTGAGTTTACATGCACCTAATAATCCGGTAACTGCAGAAAATCTGATTTTGTCAGCAATCCGATCAACGTGTTTACATGCACTGGAGTAATCAGATAATGGGGAAACTCCAGGTCTACATGAGTCAGACAATAATCAGATTTCTGCTTTGCAGCCAATAAACTCACAGAAGAAGATGTGATGTAACGTAACGTTAAACTCATGCCGCAAATTTTTTTTACTCATCTCGCCACAATATGAATACATCATCTAGAAGATTAAGAATATTAAATCTTGATTTCGTTAAGCATGTAGTTGGTTTCAGCTTCGCTCCAAAGGTGTTTTGCTTATTGCTTGCTTATTTCCGGCACCGCCATCTGTTTCACACATGCACAGGCTGAGACATCCGAAAGAAATCAGAGTAAGAGTTTACATGCACTGAGAAACCTGATTACTGAGCTAAAATCCAGCTCTCTTTATCAGATTTCTTAATCGGATTTCTAGACCTTACTCCGATCTAAGAAATCTGAGTATACTGTTTACATGATCATTTGAATAATGAGATAACTGCAGAAATACAATTATGATCAAAATATTTGGTGCATGTAAACACACTGAATGACTGAATTATGTGCGATGGAAGTCCCCTTTACAGGACTAATCCAGGGTATAAGATGTTTCCCTGTACTTTTTCTGTGAGATGAAAGAGCTAAAAACCAAGAGACTCAAAACTAACTTGCGCTACAAGGCAATGGGCAGCTGTTAATCGTTATGTGTAACATGTAGGACAATTGCAAATGACGACTCCCAGCATGCACTGCGAATGCACGGCCCTCCTGTACAAACACACTGTGCGTTCTTACGTTATTGCGCTCGTTAAAATACTCGGTACTCAAGGAGGCAAATCAGATCTACTGTTCTTCTAACAGCCACAGCCGCTCACATGCTGAGGACTCTATGCTGTTTTACTTGCTCTATTGGATTGAAGAGGCAATCAGGTGCCATTCAGTTTGAGGAGCCCCGGTCAAACAAAAATAAGTGAACACATCCTCTAGAGCAACAAACTGAAATATGACAAATTTTTAGTGCAGAATTCATATGTATTTGTGGAGTTTAACATATTGGAGGGAACACACCTTTAAAAAGATGGTGCTTGAAGGGTTCTTTAGCAAAGAAAATTGTTCTATATAGAACCATGAACACTCAAAGAACTCTAAAGGGTTCTTTGCATCGTGAAAGGTTCTTCAGATTGATGGACAATGTGCTGTAGATGGTGCTATGTAGAACCTTTTTGAAAAGGTAAATGCATTAGAGTGCATTACAGTGCAGTCCAATCTGAAGAACCCTTTCATAATGCAAAGAACCCTTTCTTAACTAAAGAACCCTTGAAGAACTATAATGTTTTAGAGTGATTATATATATATATATATATATATATATATATATATATATATATATATATATATATATATATCGCTGTCGTCGGGAGAAAATCTGCAAAATGGTAAATTTACAGGAGAAGAAAAAAACCTACTTTACTTTTAATGTAAGTCAATGGAACCAGACTTTTTTCCAAGTCATTTTGGGCCGTTTCTTTTGGTCCATTTATCGTGAAATTTACACACAATGTAAAGGGCAACAGGCATTTTTAAATTATGTTAAAAACTGAACAAAAACAACAAAAACAGAGATACAAGGTTTTTTTTTCCAACAGCAGTGATATACATACACATGTGTATATATATATATACATATATATAAATAAATGTTTTTTTCCCTTCATTATGTTAAACTCCAAATGTGCCAAAACTTTTGCACATGCCACATTTTATGTTTCACATTTTCCAGTCTGTTCAATTCAGCAAATACACTGTGATCATGTATTAAAATGTGTAACAGTATGTTCTGGGTAGAGGATGTGTTCACTTATTTTCACTTAGACAATTTACTAAATATTTTATTTGACCAGGGGTGCCTACACTTTCGCATACAAACTGTTTATACATTGTTTATACAAGCAAATCACTTCTGGGACAGACTTGTCAAACTGTAGGTCTGGCATGAGTGTTGACCAGATGAAAGCAGGCAGGTGGTACTACACAGTTGTCCTGCTGGCTGTAGCGTGTCTTGCTGCATCACTTAGAGCGTAGGTAGTGAACGTGCTGTGAATTTTAGAAAACAACAGGGCGCGAAACCATGTTAGCATATGCGTTCATGTACTTCATGTGAAGTATGTTTCTGGCCTTAGAGTTAGAGAGATTAGGTGAAGTTATGTTGGATTTTTTTTTATTGTTGTTAATGGTGGAAAGACTTCTATTATGAAAATGTAAGGTTTTCTCACAGCAGCAAAAACATGCTACACGCTAGCTGTTGGCAGTGACCCCGAGAAGGAAAACCTTCACAAAGTGTGCACATTTTGGAGATTCCGTGAAGAACGTCTCGTTGTCTAACTCTTTTTGCAAAGGGACATTTGCTCATTAACATAAAGAGCTTTTGTTATACAAAAAGACGGAGCATTTTAGAAATGGCGTAAACCAATGTTCTCTAATCGCAGTCCTGAAGGCCCACCTGCACCATAGGTGGAGACGACTCGGCTGGGCTCTAGAAGGACAAAGAACACAGACCCGTGCGTTGCAGGACTGGAATTGGGAAACACCAGCATGAAGGAAAGCTTCAGAAATTCAAATCATGCTAGCACAAATGAAAGCTAGCAGTGGCCATTTAGCATAATACACATGATTCTGTGCTGGTCCCCTCCACCTTTCGGTCTCTGTTAGACACGTGAGCATTAGTAAGTTACAGTAATTTGCAAAAGTTTGGGCACCCCTGGTGAAATTATGTGTTTTGTTGATGTGAAAATAAGTACAAATCCTCTACAGAAGCACAGGTCTGCACATTTTGACTGTTTATCTGCTGAATTTAACATATTAGACAAAAGTATAACATAAAATGTGGGCTTGTGCAAAACTTATGCCACATTTTATATTTAATGTTTTATTTCTAACATGTTAAAATCAGCAAATAAATAGAAATTGTGCACTAAAATCTGCAGACAATTCCAAGTGTGCTCCCTGCAGACAATGTTTAACTTATTTCCACTTGTAATTTCATGTAATTTCACCAAAAATGCTGCGAAGTCTTTGGCCAATGGCTTTGTAAGCATTTGTAGGTCAAAACAAAAGCTGCAACTGAGGCTTTAGTGCACTAGCGCAGATCGTCGGTAAGGGCTAAAAGTGACGGTGTATGACTTAACTGCTGAATCAGTCGTAATGTTCACTGTACTAATCATGGCATGATAGGAAACTGTATGACAAGCGTCACGTGAATTAAGGAACAAAAAAATGTAAATAAAAGAAGTGAAAATGAACATGTGATCAAAAAGTGTCTTTTTTTTGCAGACACTTTTCTTCCAGTCTTTTTTTTTCTTATTCTCGGCATCATTTTCACCATGCATACAGTACATTAGACGACACAAACCTCATAAAAATTCGTGTGCCGGAGGTATGAAAAAGAATCAGCTGAAAGAATAAGACAAAGAGGAAACGTTTGAGGAGCTTGTGGCCTCCGTCAGTTGTGGTAAACATACTGAAAAACAGGAACTTTCGACAGAAATGCGGACCGCAGGTCGGGGTCCTCGAGGTTTAGGCACCAAGAAAGGCCCTTGCACGCCTGGACGACCTCCTTGAGGGGTCTGTTTGACTTCTAACCGTTCTCCTTTTTCAAACAGGGTACACGGTGGGTCTCTACAGAAACCCCACAATCCCTTGGTCGGAGGTCGTCATTGTGTTTTCGCTTTTTTTTTTTTTTTGGGTCGATACATTCTGATGCTCTGTTAAAAACTAGCTAACGTACATTTCTTTAGCGTTGATTTGATTGAAAATCACCCTGCTTTGATCACCGTACGTTCTCCGAGTCACGTCAAATTAGTGCTTCCCATGTAGTACTGCAGTTCACCAGCCCTAATTCTTGTGTGACAAACCGTGAGCAAGAAAACGATAAGAAAAAACAAACAAACCGACTACTCTGTCGTGGACAAAACTGGCAGAACGTACAGGTCTCAGGTCTCGTCTTATACACGCACACGAGAGGAAAAGAAACAATACGAACCCAACATAAGCGACAGGAGTGATTGTCAGATTTCATCAAAGCTTTGTTTTTTTTTTTTCATCGCATTTTCTGTCTGCCTCTGATTGTTGTCCTGTCGGTCTCTCTCTCCCTCTCCCTCCCTCTCTCTCTCTGGTAGTATGGACTGTGCTTTGTACGTTCGTCCACTATGATCGAACCCCTGCAGGTCCTGATGAACTGTCCAGAGATGACTGGGAAGCACGCCGAGTCAGCGAGGCAAGCGTGGGGTCTACTAAAGAGGAGAGCGGAAACAGTTTGTACCAGCCAATCACATTGCTGGCCAGGTCCAGCTCCTCCAATAGGATTTGTGCTACTCCCATGAAGGATTTGTGGTCCATTCGTCCATAGTCTCCCCAGACAATCACCTAATAAACAGGGAGGACAAAAAAAATTAACAGTTTATTAACCTCTGAGGATTCAGTGGTCATATCCATGCTCCGCCCTCAAATACATTCTTCTGTAACAACGTTTGCTTGGTTGGTCAAGCTTTACAGCCGTTCAACCTAAAAATGAGAAACTGTAGCACACAGTTCAGTTTTTTAGCAGCTAAATGAGAGTTACTGACCAAGTTATACACAGATCAGGCATAACATTATGACCACCTCCTTGTTTCTACGCTCATTGTCCATTTTATCAGCTCCTCTTACTATATAGGTGCACTTTGTAGTTCTACAATTACAGACTGTAGTCCATCTGTTTCTCTGCATACTTTGTTAGCCCCCTTTTACCCTGTTCTTCAGTGGTCAGGACCCCAATGGACCCTCATAGAGCAGGTACTATTTGGGTGGTGGATCATTCTTAGCTCTGCAGTGACGCTGACGTGGTGGTGGTGTGTTAGTGTGTGTTGCACTGGTCTGAGTGGATCAGACACAGCAGTGCTGCTGGAGTTTTTAAACACATCAGTGTCACTGCTGGACTGAGAATAGTCTACCAACCAAAAATATCCAGCCAACAGCGTCCTGTGGGCAGCGTCCTGTGGGCAATATCGGTGTATTCTAGAAATTGATCTGCACTATTGCTACAAAATAATCAACATTATTCACTTTATCTGCTTAATTATGAAAACAGAGCTGGAAAATCCCCACGACTCACCTGTAACACTTTACCCTGCGGACTCTCTTCAAACTGAAGGGTCTGCTGGTACAGTGGTTCGAGCGTTTTCCGTGCAATCTTCGTTTTCTTTTTGGCTACATACGCCCCATTGTCCAGCAGGTACACCTTAACATAAGGAGCTGAAAGAAGAACAAATACATCCTTTAAAGGGTTAAAGTACCAGATATAAGCATTTTAGCATTCTTCTTCATACCCTAGCGTGCACCTTGTTGTGATCAGGTAGACACTTTCATAGAGAACCATCATGGAAGGTTTCTACTCACTGCTAAATCAAGCTGTTGGAGCTAAAGACATTAATGTTATTTCTTTGAGGAGAACTGAGCCTGAGAACTTGCACTTAACTTGGAAAATTTAGGTCTATTTTATTACTACGACAGTCACGGCTTATATCATTATCATTGTTGTGTTAGCATGGTTCTTCACACTGCAAAGTTCCACAGCAAACCACTCTCATCTCCCTTGTTCCTCCATAGCTCCACCCCTTTGTCATTCCCCTCACCTGTTTTTAGCTTTTAATCTTGCCTTCTTATCATTTTTCTTAGGTGTTTCTTGTCTATGTTCGGCGTACATGTTGTTTTCCTTTGTTCCCTGCCCTGCATAGCTCTTTAATTATCCTTATGTCTTTCCCCTTGGCTGTTTATCTCTTATGTGTTTTTTCCAGGGCTGTTTGCCTTTGTGTTGTTTGTTTTTTTAATTTCTCCTTTTATTTTTCCAAACTGTTTTCCATGCAAGGATTAACCAGCTCTCCCTTCCATTTAACTCCAGCTACAAAGCAGAACTGCAATAAAAACAGTTCACTACTGCAACTGCATCCTGCATCCTTGTCTCTCTCATCTACTACATTGCATAATCTGCAATCCAATTCTAAAAAAGTAAGAGATGTGTAATAAAATGGTTGTGTCTTCTTAGGCATTGAAATAAAATAACAGCACCTGCATAAGTCAACAAACTTAACTCTAAGGGGAAACTGTGAGAACAACATTAAGTCACCTTATATTGTTGAAAGGTTAATGCAGTTGTTGGCTGTTTTAACGTAACATGGTTTATGTAGTACTGAACAGTTAGTAGGGTGTGTTTATGTGATTGTTTTCGGTTATTTTAAATGAAAGGGCTTATTTTTGTTGTCTGGATTAAACAGTAGTTGCTGTAATATTCCAGGTGGTTGCAAGGGTGTTGCTAGTTGGATTCTGGCTAGTTGTTAGGTTGTTGTTAAGAGCTTGTTACGGTATTGCAGATAGTTGTTAGGGTGTTGGTAGGTGGCTGCTAGGGTACCTCAGGTTGTTGCTATCTTGTTTGACATGGTGTTGCAGGTGGCTGCTAGGGTGCAGTAGGCAGTTGCAATAGTATCTTAGGTAGTTGCTAGGTGGCTATGGTATATCTGGTAGTTGCTAGATGTGTGTGTGTGTGTGTGTGTGTGACGACTGTTAACAGTATGTCTTACAGTGTCAGAAAGCACAGTTTGAGGAAAGCGAATCATGATTTAGTCATGCAGTTTGCCCAGCGCTAATTGGTGCTCCATTACTTGTTAGCTACATTAGCGTTTTAGCTCCAGTGCAAAACTAAAGAAGCAAACATCAGACACCAAACATGTCTTGGCTCATTGGTTAGATTTAGGGTAATGAGAGAACTGTTTAAATCTGACATTTTACCACAACTATCCCTTTAACATTATTCATATTACAGGGGCTGAGGTGAAATGTAGGTGAGTGTAGGGCACAATAATTAAAAAGCAGAGAGGTTTGATGGACTGACCAGGGAGTGATTTGGATCCTGGTTTTTGGACGAGGCCCCGGGCACGGATCACCTCCACCTCCAGCCGGCCCTTCTTATTCACCATGCCAATCTGGATGTCCCCTGCACAGCGTGGACACGCCGGTCACAGCAAGGAGAAAGAGAGACACAGAGTATGTAGGTGATGCTCAAGAACCTTCTCAAAAACTCCATGCGCAATTCTGAACAACAGCTCTTTCTTTCCTTGGCTTGGTGGATCACAGATAATGACTTGTGAATATAAAAATGTAGAAGTCTGGTCCATTTCCAACAGGCACAACCTCCACCATGAGCTTGTTATGCATGAAAAAGGCTTCCTAACAGATTCTGTTTTTAATAGTCTACAATACAGTCCATTTAAAAGTTTGGCAAATACACATTTTGTTGATTTTCTAAGTGATAATAAGTTAAAACACCCTCTTCAGGGAACACACTTCTGCCCGTTATAATGAACAATTACTATTTATTTGCTGAATTTAACATATTTGACATAAACGTAAAACGTAGCCTGTGCAAAAGTTAGGGCACCGTTTATTTGGTTTATATTTGTTTTTTTTATGGCAATATTCATTTGCTTACCTATTTATTTAAAAATATTACACCCAATGTTAAATACATATAAATTGTACACTAAAATTTACAGAAAGCTTATATTTAAGTTTTTTTCTGTAGAGTTTGTGTTAACTAATTTTCACGGAAACTTTTTAATAATAATAATTTGAGAGAGGGTGTTCAAACTTTTGCATACGGCTGTACGTTACTGATCCATTACGAATATTTACCAGGCATAATCAGTGACTATTTTTTCAGACATAATGACCGAATGGTGTGTTGTTATGAGCCTACATTGCTAACATTTATCTTAAGCCTTAACCATTTTATCTGTACAGAGCCACTAGGGGGCCGTGGTTAAAAAAAAACGTTAATGACATCGCAAATGTTTTGCATTATGATGCAATGATTTGCATTCGCTTGCAAAAGCTGTGCTTTGCTTAAGCTCAGACACGAAGCAGCTCATTGAATTTTATGTTGATCTTGGATTGAAATTTAAAGACATAGTGTCGCTTCTCAAAATCAAACGATTATGCTATCAGTGAGCGCAAACTGAAACTGAGGCTGAGTGTCCTCGTACAGTAAAAGCTACATTTACAGAGACTGCAGAGAACAATTGCTGAATAAACTCAACACAGACTGACAAAACTGGGAAAGTAGCTTTTAATGTTAGCTTTGCTAAAAACAAAGCTCTAATGTAGGCAATGTCGTTGGGCACCTCTGGTCCTATGTTTGCTTGCTGTCGGACGAGCATATATTTTGCGAGGGAACACAATGTCATTAACTTTTTTTTAACCACGGCCCCTTAGGGGCTCTGTATATCTGATAAGTTATGCTGCAAAATTAAACTTGTTATTGTTTGTTATGGCAACTACTGGTTATGGACTCTATAGGAAACTATGCTAAAGCTAACAAGCTTAAGTCGAGAGGGTCTCAAGGATACTGTGTATAAAGGGTCATGTTACCTTGTAACCCCAGATTCAAACATTAACCAAGGATTCAATAAATTTTATTAAACATTTGACTGAATTTCTGAGGCAATGCCCAGCATACAATACTGTACAGAACTCTCAGGCACCCAAGAACATTTTACAAATATTCATTTTTATTCCTGCCTGTAAAAACGATGTATAACAGCAGAATAAACATAAACAAATACAGTAAAATATAACATGAATATTTTCAGTCAAGTCATTAAGATGTTGGCTAGAAGAGCACAGGTCTGGGTCCTGACCTCCTGCTGCATTTATTACTTGGATTTGATAATTTAATGAAGGATTTGTTAAATAAACTAGGTATTGGATTGTAGCAGTAAATACTGGACTTCCTTGAGGAGAGCTTTGGAAATCATTTAGCTAACATACTGAAGCACTAAAAGTAGCATTGTTTATCTGTATTTGTTCTAATGCTAGTAAATAAATGTTTACAGCCTAGATAAATGGTTTACGTATCATTTTCACAGATGCCTAAGACATCTGCACACTACTTTATATTGTGGGCATTTTGTGGACCACTGACCTAGAACATAAAACTACTCTGTACATCTAAAATACACAACGAAATTTGTGAACAAAAAAAAACATAATGCTGATCATTATTGCTTTACATATTGGAGAATTTTCCAGTGAATGCAAAAGAGATAAATAAAAGAAAGTGTCAGACCAGGATAGAAACATATAGAGTGGTGTAACTGACCAATAGAGGGCGTGGCTAGGGTTTGTCGGCCAACCAGCTGGGCAGGACCCAGCCCATCCAGGAAGTCACTGAACTGAGTCTCCACTCTCACAGCCGGGAAGATGGGACTGCGCAAAACAAAACATACAGATAATAAAATATCACATCATTTTTAAGAAGTTGAGAAGTTCATCTGAGTTCTCTTTTAAAACCAGTCCAGGACTGCAAGACAAAATACTAGTGCTGTGATATGTCTTGCAATCACTGTCCTGCATTATTTTGACCAAAATAAGTGACTTTTGTTGGATTACATTGTGATTAAAAGCCAATACAAAATAACAATTAACAACCAATATATTGTGCAGTCCTATCCACGGCTGCCCACAGTAAGGGGCGTCATACAACCCTGTGGTGAACTGCTCTGTCCACTAGCACTGCTGCAAACCATTATAATGCTGGCTTGTTTGAGGAATGCTACCACATGCACCTTTTCTCTCTTCTGCCCTTTCTCCGATCACAGCGGCTCTGTAAAAAGAACGGCGGGCACTGAGCAGCTCCACCGTAATTAAACAAATGTCAAAGAAAATTGGCGAGACATTTTATGGGCTCTGTTTAGCCACAATGCAAACGTTTGACGGACAGCTAGGTTGCCACGGCAACGCACATGGCTGAGACTATTTCTGGATAAAAAACAGTGCTTGTGTAAATGGCTGTAAACATAGCCTGTTCAACAGATGACGTACAATGTGGACAAATGCTTTATTTATATGATATATTAAATACTTATTTGTACTGGGATACCCAACCAAGACTGAAGTCTCATTCATTCAACTGGAGCCTGTAGAAGTTGCATTCTTAAAAGTACAACAAGAGAAGTAGCAATAAAGTAAAAAAATAGAAGTAACTCTAAATGATTCAGTAACCACTCTAAATGATTCAGTAACTACCCTAAATGATTCAGTAAGTAGTCTAAATGATGCAGTAACTACTCTAAATGATTCAGTAAGTACTCTAAATGATGCAGTAACTACCCTAAATGATTCAGTAAGTACTCTAAATGATGCAGTAACTACCCTAAATGATTCAGTAAGTAGTCTAAATGATGCAGTAACTACCCTAAATGATTCAGTAAGTACTCTAAATGATTCAGTAAATACTCTAAATGATTCAGTAACTACTCTAAATGATGCAGTAACTACTCTAAATGATGTAGTAACTACCCTAAATGATTCAGTAACTACTCTAAATGATGCAGTAACTACCCTAAATGATTCAGTAACTACTCTAAATGATGCAGTAACTACTCTAAATGATTCAGTAAATACTCTAAATGATTCAGTAACTACTCTAAATGATTCAGTAACTACTCTAAATGATGCAGTAACTACTCTAAATGATGTAGTAACTACCCTAAATGATTCAGTAACTACTCTAAATGATGCAGTAACTACCCTAAATGATTCAGTAACTACTCTAAATGATGCAGTAACTACTCTAAATGATTCAGTAAATACTCTAAATGATTCAGTAACTACTCTAAATGATTCAGTAACTACTCTAAATGATGCAGTAACTACCCTAAATGATTCAATAACTACTCTAAATGATTCAGTAACTACTCTAAATGATGCAGTAACTACCCTAAATGATTCAGTAACTACTCTAAATGATGCAGTAACTACTCTAAATGATTCAGTAACTACTCTAAATGATTCAGTAACTACTCTAAATGATGCAGTACTACTACTACAAATAATTCAGTAGCTATTACGAATGATAAGTGCCAGACACAGTAGCAGTTTCTTTCCTCATGCCATCACTCTCATGAATAGCTGACCAGTAATATCATCTGCTGGGCCATAGCTACTTCTATGTTTTTTCACCAGATAGTTATTACACCCCATTTCAGACTCATACCATCGTGCACAACAATTTCATTCCCATACATGATGTAGATTACTGTTGTTAGCACTACCACACACACTTATGTATATTGCTAGTCCCTACATAATCAGTATGTTGCTCATACATTGTGTATTGTCTGTGAATAATATGTACATTGTCTGTTTATAACACCAACAGCTGGAACCAAATTCCTTGTGTGTCAACATACTACTATCGATGGTTTAGTAACTACTACAAATGATTCAATAAATACAATAAATTATTTAGTAACTACTCCAAACTTTATTAATAAAGAATTATTCAGTAACTATTTTAAATGATTCAGTTACTATTTTTAAATGATTCAGTAACTACAATAAATGATTCAGTAACAACTATGAATTATTCAGTAAGTACCATAAATTATTCAGTAACTACTATGAATGATTCAGTATCTACTTTGATTGATTCAGTATTTTTAAATGATTCATTAACTACTATGAATGATTCAGTAACTACTTTGATTCAATAAGTATTTGTAAATGATTCATTAACTACTATAAATGATCCATTAAGTACTACAAGTAATTCAGTAACTACCTGAATTGATTCAGTAATTACTGTGAATAAGCCAGTAGCTACAATAGATCATTCAGTATCTACTATAAATGATTCAGTAACTACAAGGAAACTAATACGTACATTATGTAGTTATGAGAGTGAGTACAGGAGATCTTTAGATCTTTAAGTGGTTTTAAAGTTATAATCATTTTGTGTTTCAATCTAAGAACATAAAATAAGGTATTAAAAAATAAAGTGGCTCACCTTCCCTCAGAGTTGTAGCCGGTCATGCTGCCGTTGTTGGACTCACGACTGGGCTGCCGGCTCATGTTGCGCTGCAGCTCCACGGCCATGCCTGTCTCCTGACTCCGCTGGATCGTCGTCCCACCTCCTTTTGACTTCTTATTAGATGCCTCTGAAGACAGACACACAGGACAGCCAATAAATACACCAGTCTAAAAAAAGTTCATTGAAGTTCATGGAAATGTGAGTGTCTTTCCTGATATTTGTCAAAAATACTAACAAAAAAAATGAAATACTGTTTTAACACCAACCTTGTACCTACACTAATTAACCATTATATCATAAATGCCTGTCATATAGATGCACTTTGTAGGTTTACAGTTACTGACTGTAGCCCATCTGTTGCTGCACAGTTTATCAGCCCTTCCCCATCCATCAATGGGGACAACCATAGGAACACCTCTGACCAGACATTATTTTGGTGATGGACCATTCTTAGCACAAGGTAAGCATTTCCGAGTGTAGTACGTAGTACTGTGATTTTGTCTGCAATACAAGTTATAGAATTTAGTACTATGATGCTGTTACGTACAGTTGTATTAGCTTTAAGGTAACTGTAATATTGCAAAACAGCTTAGTAAACCAATCAATAAGCGCTACCCCAAAACCTTCATCATAAAAAGTGCTTTAAATAACAGTGGAAGCTGCAAATACTAATGTAATTTCACAGTTGCTGTGTGCATGAGTCAGCAGCACGAGGCTAACAGCTCACTGCCCACTTGGCAGAAACAAAAGCTCCATCTCTTTAGCCTGAATCTGTGTGCTTAGAAAGGCAGGAGAGAACAGAGCGGAGTCTCGCTCCAGGCCGCAGAGTTCTCTAATGTGCTTTTATGTTGGCTTCAAAGAGAACAAGTGCAGCGGTGCAAGCACCAACCCTCTGTACCTCACCCTCCCCTCCTCACGAAGCTTTCTTCTGGTGAATGATGTCGAGTCACTCCTCACTTCTAAAAAGGCTACGAAATGGCCACAGGTGCTTTTATCAAAGGGAACTCTGGTCAGGTTTGATTGGGGTTGGACCTTTGGCTGCAGCGTTTCTAAAACCTTTGGATATTCAGCCCAAAAGAAAAATATTTCAGAAAATGTTATTTTAACAGAGAATTTGTTTTTGAAAAATACATAGGGAATGTATCCAAAAAATGTGCCGAAATGGTTCTTTAGAGCAGTAAAATTGGACAGTGCTTCCCAGTCCTGGTCCTGTACACTTTAGTGCTTTCCTTGCTCTCAACCCACTTGATCCAAATAAGCAGTGAATTAGCACACTATTCCTGAGTTAAACTGGGTATTCTAGAGCAGGATATCACAAAAATGTACAGGGCGGGGGGTACAGGGGGAACTCCAAGACCAGGGTCGGGAACCCATGCAATAAAAGAACCACTTTTAGTTTGCCAAGGAACTTTTCTTGGGATGCTTCTTTATAGGAACACAGCAGCCTTTATTCAACCAAATCATCATCTTCTATATCTCAGAATCAGAATCAAGCTTTATTGGCCAGGTATGCTTACGCATACAAGGAATTTGGTTTTGGTTACAGGTGCTAACAGTGCACAATACCAGACAGACATTTACATGTAGTGAATAAAATAAAATAAATATAAAATATAACAAGATAAAATAAAATAAAATAAAACATGCATTCTTACCATCACTCACTCAAACACACACACACACAGTCATACCTGTAAACCTTACATTGTGCAAAGTGTGGGTCTAAAGTTAAAGTGCTGAGTGCAGCAGCAGTTAAAAGGGTGTTTAGTGGCAGAGAAAGGGATCAGTGAGATAACAGTCCGATAAGTGGGGTAAAAAGGCAGGTAAGTAAGATGCCAGAATAAACACTGGTTTGAGGCAGCAGTTCCAGAGGATGGAGTTGAATTAGATACTATATACCAGTATTTATGAAGTGCAGTTTGAAGCTGGAATATTGTTTTTGTGTAATATTTTAACTGTTCCACAAAAACAATATTCCAATATCTGTAGCATATGATTACCATAAACAGTGATTAGGAGGCATTTTCCTGCACTTAGTAAAAGAACAGAAAAACTGTTGCAACGGAGTGAAGCATTTGCCTCATCATCAGGGTTTGTAAGTTTGTTCCCCAGTGATGCCACAGTCACCCGTGTCTGAGAGTCCATGAGCATAATTATCCTTGCTCTCTCTGATGACCCTCCCTCTACCCCCACCACTCAGCATGGTAGCATCATGTGATGGGAGACCTTTCTCAGACCTTGGTAGCATCATGTGACGAGGAGAACTAGAGGGTGGACATGACTAAATTGTAGGGGGAAATTGGGCAATGGGCAATGTAATTTGAGACACTAGATTTTCTCCTCTTTTACTAAGAAGATGGAAAAATGTTACAATATTGTGTGTATAGTGGAGTCACAGGCCGAGCTCCAGTGGGGAGCTTCAAAATGAGAATGAATGGAAATATTTGTTTAAGAGTTGGTTGTGTTTTTTCATGCCTTTTTGTATTGTAACCAGTGGTTGGAAGTGTCTCCCATCTTTGAATGGATTCGGTCGGTTATTGGCCTTCCACCCATTTCCCCCTTGTAGTTCAGCTCCCCTCTCTGCCTGATGTTTCAACAAAGAGCATTTTCTTGGCAGAAAATGGTAGACTCCAGGTCTTATTCTGCACTGATACTACAGAATTTATCTATAGTATACTACATACAGTATGTAGCAGATAAAGATTAGGTTGAAAACACTGGAATATTCCTTTAGATAACCACTGAAAAGTCCTTTAGGGAACCAAAAGTGGCTCTTCTACAGCATCTTTCAAAAAGAACTCATAACAATGGTATTCTTTAAACATCATTACTTTAGGTCAGGTTCAGCTTTAAATCAGCCAGTTCATAAGAGAATTTGGACAGACAGACAGATAGATGGATAAATTGATCCAGGGGCACCTGGATTCTTATCAATTCTTAAAAATTGAGCTGCAAAGATTAAGTGTGAACTTTGCTTGTGGAATATTAAGTCAACAAATTGTTTATTTAAAACAAAAGGGCTCTATAATGCTCTGTAAAGTTCATATTATACTCCTGGTCATTACAACAGACAGCAATACAGTAGAGCTAGTATTTATTGGTATCTCGCCAACAAAGCACAGATAATTAATCAACAAACCCGCTAAGATTTCTCGTCGTGCGTCCTGCTACAATATTTATATTACTAAAGATTTTGCACGTTTCTGTTGTTTGATTTTAAGAAATGTAACAGTTAATTAAATAATTAAACTGGCAATCAAATTTGACAACTCACAGTTCACAACTTACAAAGCACAGTTTAACTAAAACTATTGGCGTCTGCTTCATTTTTGACTATATTACATTATATTGGTCAAAACACTGTATTACTCAGGCCCTGAAAACACACTACAGAAAGTGTAGAGGATGATTTAGCTTCTATTGTCTTGCACCATGAACTAGGATATCACTTCATACACATTAATGGAGCTCTGAATGATGGTGATGCTGTGATAAGGCAATGTGAGAGGAAGCGCAGAAAGCATAATGGTTTGATTAGTCAGTTAACTGAATAACAGCTGATAGATTAATTGAACATAGAAATAATCATCCATAACATCCCTGCTTAACAATGCTGAAAGGACACTGAAAGAGTGACCACTGACCCGTCGGACTGATCTGGGAGGTGCTCCTGCTGCGACGGTTACCCACAATGGCCACAAAGCGGGCGTTGAGGCTGGCGCGACGTTTCTTGCTGCCACTGCCCACCGTGCCCAGCGCTGTGTCTGACTGGCTGCCGTCCGTACGCTCGGACGCGTTGATTTCACCACTCACGCTCGTGCTCTTCAGCATGCTGCGGCCTGCAGAGGTCCGCACCTGCCGACTGGAGGAAGTGTGGTTCAAAGTTAAGCCTACATAGTAAAGCTCAGAGAGGCTGACCAGAGGGCAGAATATTGATGCTTTATTATGATGAACTGAAACATTATCATTGTCTTTGAGATAACAATCACTCTGGCAAGGTCTGAGAGACTCTGCTTACATTTTGGTCCAATCAATGTTTATAACATGCCATATCAAGACTTGTACACTCTTTATTGGAACCTTGGTCAAAATCATCAAAGAAAAGCTATGAAACAATGTCTCTGATTTTGAAATGAAAGAAATATGAAAGAAGTCTAACCTTTGAGTGAGGTAAATGTCTTCTAAGAAAAAAGTATTTGTATTAAAAACACATGAACCACAGCTAGCGCCTCTGAATTAGTACTTTAATTCACCTTTTGTCAAGACAGAGTCTTGTAATGTTGTTCTCTTGTTCTCTTGTGATGTTGAATGATGTGGAAGAACACAAAAAAGATCTGAGACTATTCTACCATAAAACAATCTCAATATCTTGTTCTTGTTTCTTTGCAGAACCTCCTGTTCTGCTCAGCCCACAGTTTTTAATGGAGTTTAGGTCAGAAAACAAAGATGGGCACTGCGAAAACTTGATTCTGTGAATCATTTTGGTTTTCCACCATTGCTCTGCTGGGAAGACTCAACGCTGAGCCAATCTTAGGCTCCATGAATCCATGGATCCTAAGAAGATTTCCAGTATCTCTGGAATTGAAACAGCACCACAACATTACACTTCCACCACCATGCTTCACACTGAGCACTGGGTTCTTTTTTGCATGACCTTGAGTCTTTAGTTACATCTTCTCTGATCACAGAAAGTTTCTTCAAAGTTCTAACAATGTATACTGAACTCAAACTAGGAGCTTATGTTTGTGCCTTGACAACAGTAAAGGCTTTATTCTTGCAAGCATTCCAAATAGTTTTCTGGCATGGAGGCAGCAATAACTGCAGAATTTGGTGGAGAAAGATCTGCACAGAATACACATTCCAGCTCCAGCCGGTTGAAATTGCTGAATTAGTCCTCTAGTAGTGGTGTAGAGGTGCCAATAATTGTGGTTGTGTGTTTTGAGAAGAACATTTTTTCTTTGAATAGATTTTACCTCATTAAAAGGTTAGATTACTTCCATATTTTCATGGCAGCTTCAAGCTGATAACCAACAAAGCCTTCTTAGCCAATCTTTACAAAGGGTGCCAATAATTCTGGAGAGAGCTATTGATCTGGTTCTTTTTGTTTGAAACGATATTTGATGTAACGGAAATAAGAAAGCAGTACTTTGGTCAGTTAGTCATGTGCTGTAGCCAACATGAAACTCTGCTTTATGTCAAAACAAAAGGATGCTAAGTGCTAATTTTCCATAGTCATTCACATTTATCTTCCTTAAGGCAGCAGTAAAGCAAAGCTCTCTGGTGCCCTCTGGGGCTCTGGAGGAGTTGGCGTGTGCCTGCACCCTCTGAGGGAGATAAGGTGCTGCAAGATTGCCCGAACATGCTCTCTTCACCAGCTACCGGGCCGGTCACAGCAGTCTCCTGGCCAGGGAAGGGTGCACTTGTGGTGGACAGGGGGAGGGAGGAGGTGGGCCTCTCTTCTCCAAAACGCAGAGGGGTAAGAGAAGGTCGGACTGCTAGAGTGCTAATGCTGGGTGGAAGGGGATCAGGTGCTGACACGGGGTCCAAACACTGAAGATATGACTGGAGGCATGCAAAAAGGGCTCTAAAAGACATACGCACATTACACATGACACAGAAAACACAGCACACAATGATATACACACAAGACATGCAAACATGTGCACAGAATGGAGATACACGGTGAACTAAGTGATGCACTGAATTCACTTGATTTAAATGTGTACATTGTTTTGGCTACAAGTCCTACACTATGGTATGGCACACAAGTCACAAACCAGCCTTCATTTATTTAATTTCCAGGAACTGATGTTCACATTTAAACTAAATTCAATGCAGCATTTTTTCAGACATTGCTGAACAAAGCAAAGGCAAATACATTCAGGTTTATATTAGATGCAAGTGAAAAGATTAGTGGATGATTTCTACAGCGCATGCAGGAATAGAGAAGGGAGATCTGTGGTCAGACCAAGAAGGTTGTCTCGACAAAAACAAGTGATTCTGATTTTGACTACATTTGGCTTGTTAGTGGATGAATTTGCAGTTTGATGGTGTTATAACATGGATATTAAAGCTGTCGCAATTACTCAATAAAAAAAAATATGCATTAAAATGTAACTTTTTGATAAATTAGCAGTGGTTGGCAGTTTGTATGATGATAATGCACACTTGAAATCTGTCACTGCTCTGTCTTACACAAAGTAAACTGTAATTACTGAGTTTACCTAAAATGCCTTAAAAAAGACTGCCTCACATTTTCTAAGTAATAAACAAATCAATTTCAAGGTAAGTCTACAAATTACTTCTAATTTAGGTAAACTGCTAATTTTTAAGTAGATAAGATTTCTTTTCTGAAATCTTTTTATTAGTAAAAAGTAACATTTCACTAAACTTGCTTAAAAATTTGTAGTAAAGTATATTATTATGTACTATTTTATGCAGTTTTTAATAAAGCCTTTTAAAAAGGCTTTCTAGTTAAATTTTTTTCAATTGAGTATTTTGGAAAATTTAGAAATAAATTGTATTTGTTCAGTTTTGTCCATTTTTACTGTTTGACCTTTTCAATCATCAAAAATAATTTGTCCATGCAAAGAATCATTTATGCATTCAAACTGTTATGTAAATGTGTTCATCACTGCCTCTACTGAAAATATTTTCTTTTGAAAGTGTGAAGTTATAGAAAACAAGAAAAAAAACAACCCAAATTATTATTCTGAAACAGTTACTACCAATACAATTTCTATAACATGGTCACTTATTATATCCAGACAAATCTGTAGTCTGGTCACTGGTTGTGCTATTAGCTTTGCAAGCCAAGAAATAAGCGACATACTAATGACTTTCAGTAGATCAGACCCTGGAGGAACAACAAACACGGGAGATTTGTGGAGTGCTGAAATCGGATGTCTGGCCAGAGGACACCATTTGAAACAAAACGAAGCAGCAGAATCTTTTAAGCGGACTCTGTGAAAGTGTGTCAGGGGCTGCAGGCTCCAGAGACTCATAATGCTCTAGTTGGCGTCCACAGCAGCGGGGCTATATGGGGGTCTGTCTGGACTGTGTAATGCTTTTAATAGCTATGCAGTGACACTCTGAGGAGGCTGCGAGTCCCTTTGTGCCTCACCGTGTTTCTCTATTTTGAATCCCCATCAACTCAAGAAGAAAGTTCAGTTCGTTCTTGTTGGTCTGAGACTGGTTTAGGTGCTTTTCCAGTTTTCCTTCATATAATGGCTTTTAAAAGCATAGCTGATCCTATAGCAGCTTACTAAAGCTATTGTAAGAGAGTGTCTGGGTGCAGTTGATAAAAAGCACCTTAGATCAAGTGGCCTCTTCAGTACTTGTCAGTATGTTTTACAATAGTTTTAAGATAAAGTTTGGGCATAAAAGGCATTTTTAAAATACATTGATGCTGGAGGGATACCTGCAAGGCATTGTGAGGCAGAATAGTAGCCAAAAAAACTATTTTTTTCAGATTTATCACTATTTTACCATCATATACATTACTTATAAAAACTCAGAAGACACATGTAGTTCAAAAGAGGTTTTTGGATAGTAAATAAAACGGCTATATTTGTGTTGTGGACATCACAACCCCTGGTTTCTAACATCACTGTAAAGAAATCTGAGTGGACAAGTTTCTCTACAATGAACCTTTTCAAATCAAACCACTCTGAGTGACTTTGTTTAAACCCCAACAAATTAATTATGTAGGAATTTTGACAAATCAATCTTGTTTTTGTAACAGCTGATAAGGTTTCTAGCCTATTCGTTGATATGTCAACAGCACGTTTTTCCTTTTTTATATTGGGTGATGTCTTGGTATGGTTGGTAACAGTTGAAATGGCTGATGAAAACATATTTGGGAAAGTGGCAAGTGAAGGGAATACTATAGTCTATAGTAGCTGGCCCTCAGAGCAGGTTATTGGGTATTAGAGAGCAGGTCCAGGATCAGCACTGAGCTGGCTGTTACCTGACATCTTCATCTCCGGCCACAGTGTGGCGCCGGCGCTTCAGTTCCTCTGAGAAGCGTCTCTTTCCCAGACTCCTTCTCTCCCCTGGGCTGCTCACACCCCACGAGATACGCCTCTCTTTTTTCTCCTCCCCTTTACAACTCTCCAGAGACTTTGACCTTTGCCCGCCAATGCGAGAGGAAAGAAGGAGCATGCAGGCGAGACACATGCACCATGCAGAAGACAGAAGAAAGAAGCAGAGAAGCATGCATATGACAGAAGAAGCCATGCAAAAAACAAAGAGAGGGAAACTAATAAAATGGACCACTGCTTCAGCCTGAAGAGCCACACCCACAGCTTGAATGCTGAGTGATTACTGTGGATGTAATTTATTTCCAGTTATTTGAAGCTTGACAAGCTTGAATTCCCTTAAGTTTTTAGATTATTATCAGGAGAACTGAAAAACTGCTCAGGAGGATATATATATATATATGTGTCCTAGGCCACAGTGCTGTGCACAGGTCTTAGGCCAGTCAAGAACAGTGTTTAGAACCATTTATCTGGGCTGCAAGTATCCAGACACCCCTTCTAATTATATTTAATTCGGCTCCTTCACACAGACATTGAGTTACTCACATACAGCTTGTGTAATCTCCAAAGCACTGACCAACAGAACAGGACGCTCAAAAGCTGCCACACGTGAATCTATGGTCACCATGCCCAATGCCAACTGTCAGCTAGAGGGGAGTATTGGGCTGTGGAGCAGTGGAACTGTGTTTTCTGGAGTGATAGAGCTTCATCCAATATCTTTGGATGAGCTGGAGTGATCCAGAACTAATCATCCAACATCAGTACCTGACCTCACTGATGCTCTTGTGGCTGAATGCAATAAAATTCTCGCTGCAATGTTCTAATCTAGTGTAAAGCCTTCTCAGAAGAGTAGAGGCTGAGCAGAGAGAGCAGAGAGGGGCAAACTCTCTATTAATACCCCTGATTTCAGAAAAAACACTGGATGAGCAGGTGTCTACAAACTTTTGGACATATAGTGTATGCTTTCCCTTGTAAAATGACTATAACATCAGAATAAATACAGTAAAATAAATATGAATACAGACAAAAGCTGAATGTCTTGTTTTCAGTAAGTGTTTTCTTGTTTAAGTGCCCTGAGAAGAGGTCAGGAAATGGTTAAAAGGCCCGTATTATGCATTTTACGCAAATGTTTACCAAAGTCAGTCATATATCATTTTTAATGTAAGCATTTTTAACTAATAAACTGACTGTTTTTGCTACTTATTTACAATACATGTAAATGAGCTTTGTTCTGATTTGCTGCCCATGTATTGCTGCCTCTTTCAAAAAGCAGCCCAAGCTGAAATATTTCCTATAACCTCAGTGTGAATGGGGAAGAGCTAAAGTGCTGTAGGCTGAATAGGCAGATATTTGTAAATGCATTCACCAAAATAGTGAATTTGTAGTTTAGTTTCCATATATGGACTGCATGGACTGTGGAGAGATGGTATGTTTTGAAGCAAAGAAAACGATAGAGGCCCTTTAGGCTAACAGACATAAAATAACAATAATTCACTGCAATAATGTTTATTTGTATTTATTCTAATGTTAGTATTTTTCCAAGAAATAAAAGCTTTTACCCAGATAAATGGCTTTAAATATAAATTTCTCAGGTGGCCTAAGACGCCTTCAGGGTAACACACTTTGTGTAGTGGTGTGAAAGCTTCCAACCTGATGCGTCCGTGTGGTCTCTCTGATTGGACAGACATGTAGCTGGCGCTGCTGAGGCGCGAGGCACTGCTGGCTCTGGAGATGGCCGACACATCACTCACATCACTGTCTGATGACCGTGCAGACATGTTATCACAGCTCCTCCTATAAATCTACAATAAAACAAATGTATTGTTGTTGTTATTACTATTAATATTATTGTTAATAGTAGTAATAGTAGAAGCAGTAGTTATAGTATTAGTATCATTATTGTTATTATCCCAAAACTACCCCAGTGTCACTGTTTTAGTCCCATATGCCCTAAAATACCACTTCTTGCATTTTGTGTAATTATTCTTCACTCACAGCTCATTGAAACAAGTGGAGAAACTCTGCTAAAAAGTGCAGATTCTATACTTTGAATCCACACCAAATTTGTGCTTGGGATTAAATGAAAAACATCAAAGAAAAAATCAAAGAAAAACATCCTTTACATTTTTGTAGAGATGGCACAATACCACTCGTTCGTTTCTGAGACCGATACTGATACTGAAATCTTAAGTATCAGTCGATACTGATACTGATTTTATCATTTTAATTAGAAACTACTACGCTTTAAAATGACCTAGCACAGAAATAATAGAATTAAAGCAAACCTGTCAATACAGAATATAAATGCAATTTATAAGGTAACTAAGTACGTAATTAAGTTGGTTTGACAAAGTCAACATACTATTCTTCGTTTTATTATTTTACACTTTTATCAGTGCCGTTTTCACAGGTTGCAGTTTTCAATGTAAAACATGGGATACAATGGCAACAGCCCAGTTGGTAACACTTTAGCAACTACCTGGGATATTGTGACAACAGTCCAGCAACACCTTAGCAACCTGTTGGGATAACACAGCAACAGCCTAGCAACACTTTATCAACCACATGGGATGACACAGCAATGGCTTAACAACACCTTAGCATGGGATTTCATTTCAACGGCTTTGTCAAGCCAACTTCACAAACTTTCCCTTTCTAGTTTATTATGTAATTATCTAATTACAAATCTAAAAAAATATATAGCAAAATGACCTTTGGTTATTAGTTATTCAGCTCTTTTGAAATGTAAAGCTTGTATAGCTTTTAAGAAAACAAACACATCCGCAGTGAACAAAGGACTATTTCTACAAACAATGTAGATGTTTTTGTACTGATTTTGAAACAGCCAAATGAATCTGTCTGATTGTACTGTATAGCACAATGCACTTTTTTTTACAAGAACAAAGCAGGGCTTAGGCTTGCTTCACGCTTTTCTATTATTAGAAGTATTGAGCAATATAACCTTTCAGTGAGTCAGATAAAAGGTGCTTTGCAAGTTGTAGGTTGATTGTATAAGTGGAGGTAATGCAGTGCTGCTTAAACCGCTCTAAAACACTCTAAAAGAATGTTGTGTAACAGCGTTAAAGGCTGACTCACGTCTCTCTTGTTCTTGAGCTCCATCTCTTGGTCATGGCCAGTGCTGGCGGAGGATCCTGGCCGATAGGAGGGCACTCGCATCTGACTCAACTGACGAGCTCGCTCCTCTACCGCCAAAGCTGAAAGACAGACAGACAGATAGGACAGGATTTGAGACAATAAACAAAACTAAGGACAAAAATGAACTTGTGCTTGTACATCAGACGTTTGTTACATAAAAATGAGCAAGTATATCTAACAGTCAAAAATAAGGCATGATTTCAGCACAAAGAGTCAATGTATGGTCAGTAAAGCATGGAATGAGTTACCTTTCTCTTCAGGTTTATTACTGACATGGTCTTCATGAGTATGGAGTTGAAGGACAATGGCATGAAAGAAGAGAGAAATGAGAAAGACAGAGAGAGACATGACTGAGGGGACAAACAGAAATGATGAAGGCACTTGAATGAAGAAGAAAAGGGAAATTACAGAATATTCAACTAACATGAAATAATGAAGTTGGCAATATTTTCCTTTTTTTTTGTATAAAATGTTTATACAACCACTTCCAACCTTTCTCTGTCTTTTAGCATTAAAAGGCTGTTTTTGTTACGTATATGTAAATGACTTCTGTTCCGATTGGCTGCCCTGTTTTTGCCTTGCTCAAAAGTCCTGATCCTCTAAAATGCAGCACTGATAAATTTACCTCTTAACAGCCATGAACAGCACAGTTTTTCATTTTTCCCATATCTTCCCATTCTAATAACAGACTGTCTGCAGTAACAACACTCTGTATCACTTCAGCATGAATGCAGGAGCTAAACTGCTATAGGCCGAATGGGTGGTCTTGGTGGTGTAAATATGTTGATGCTGTTTGGAGTAATGGAGTAATTGATATCCTTATTACTGCAGTGTGAATGGGTGGACTAAAGACTAATCTGCTGTAGATGGAATCAAAGGTAAATGTAAACGTGTTTATGGTTGTGACATCACCACCATGATTGATTTAAAACACGCTTAAATTTTCCATGACATGGGTCCTGTAAGTGCTTGCAGAGCTGCACGGCATTTGACCTGATGGGATGTCTCTGCAGTGACTGAGTGAGTGATGAAGGAAAGCTTACCTTGCTCTATGCTGCTGCTTTTAGCAGGAAGCTGTGGCAGCTGTCTGCCCCTGCGCACTGACAGGGAAGACCCTGTCGGGGAGGAACGTCCACCATGAGGATGTGCTCTAGAGAAGAGAGAGAGAGAAAGAAAGGAAGAGACACATGAAAAAGAGACACTGGAGCTATGAAACGAATGCAGCTAACAAATTTACCCCACCATGTAGCACTGTTCAAACTGCATGACTGAAATATCAATCATTATCTATAAACAATGGACAGAAACAGACAACATTCAGGCTTTAAAAGGTCCGTACATTGGAAAACCAAAATAGTTTGTAATATGTGTCCATATATGACAACTGAACTGCAAAATCAGCCTATTTTGATTTTAATTGTTTTTGTAATGTCATGAAAACCAACACTTTTACATATCCTCCCATTTCATTTCATTCCATAACCAGTTCATTTACATATATCAGTCTTAAAGGGACAGTGACAAAAACAGCTTGTTTACTTCTTAGAGATAAAGAGGTCGGAAAATGGTCATGTAAAAATTAATTATGACTGTTTTTGGTACATAAAACTGTACGAACAACATAAGTGCAACTTAGGTGGGAAAAATAAATGTCTCGTGCAGTTTGCAGTTGGTTTACACTTGTTAACTATATTAGCCTTGTAAACTGCTCTAGGCCCGAATGGGGCGCAAAACACATGAAGCAAAATTCAGACACCAAACATGTCTTGACAGATCAACTACTTCTGGGGCAAGTAGTGACCTGTTTTTGTTGAACTCTTCCTTCAACTTACCTTCAAATTTAGCACCATTAATTTCCTGAACTAAAACTGAACCTGATAAAAAAATGTTTTGTTGAGAGCGACAGTGGGGAGACATCATAGAAGAAATAAGCAGGGTATAAAGGGGGTTTTTTAACCAGCATGCACCTGTCCAGAGGGCGTGGTGAGCTCGGGCAGGAGCCCCCCAGGCCGGTTTGGCCGAAGGGCCGAATGGGGGCGTCTCTCCTCCACCTGCTGCCTCGCAGGATGGAGGTGGGCTGGATCCTACATGCAGCCGCCAAGGCCAAGAGGCAAAAGAAACAAGGGGTGGGATGACAAGATGCAGAGTAAAACAGAAGAGAAAATGAAAAGGTGAGTGAGTGAAAGAAAACAAGCAACGATGTTGTTACAGTGACTGGCGAAAAATCACATATGCGCAATTTTACATCCATCAAATGTGGCTCGTCAGCCAAGACATGTTTGGTGTCTGAGGTTTGCCTTTTGATTTTGCACTGGAGCTACAAGGCTGATGTAGCTAACCAGTAATGGAAGTTAATGCACTACCAGTTAGCACACTGCATGGCTAAATCATCACACACTTGTCTCAAACTGTGTTGAGTTGTTATATCATCTCAAATAAACTTGCTTATGTGGTTCCGGACATCTGGTAGATGTATGTGTAATATACTGTTATATATATAACTGGACAGAATTTAGGCTTCAGGAGAGCTCATACTACCATTTACAGCTACGCAACATCATTTTGTCCATTTTTATAGATAACAGTGTCATACAGTCTCAGAAATGACATTAGTAAGTCTATTTGAGATTACGTAACAAAATTAAATTTGTAGATTTATTAATTTAGTTGACTCAGGCACGTATTTAGCATGCTTACTGATGTGGTATTAGTTTCCATTACTTGTTAGCTTGATTAGCCTCGAAGCTCCAGTGCAAAACTAAAGAAGCAAACTTCAGACACCAAACGTCTTATCTGACTGACTGACTGGAGTAAAAGGGGAAAACTGTGTACTTTTGAATTTGAAACAGAACTAAAATCAGAGGAAGGGACAACTAGCAACAAGATGGATACAGTCACACAATCATGAACCAGCCATTCAGAAGGCTGAAGATTCAAATAGAAAACAGGATATTCTGGAAAAACACTATCCATATGGTTGCCAGGAGCCATAATTGGCTTGACAGCACTTAATAATAATACTAATAATTGGATAACAGAAAAAGATGATCTTCGATTATGAATTAAATAACAAAGAGACAGCGGCTTAGAAAGGAAGAGACAAAGGAAAAATCTAAAAAGGTAGAAAGTAGAAAGGTGTTTTAAAACAGAAAAAGAGAGAAATACAGAGAGAAGAAGAGGAAAAGAGAGAGAAGGCTGGAGATGCAGTGATGGATGTTGAGGAAATCTCACCTGTCATTGTCAATGCTTTTCTTGTTAGGTTTTGGACAGGCAGCTCTATCCAAACTGCCTACCGGCCTATGCAGAGAGTGTGAACAATGCAGGCGATAAACGAGTAAAAGACAAAAGAAAAGAAAATGAGGTATGAGAAAACAGCAGAATGGAAAGACGAAATGGATCACGGGGGATGAGACCGGTCTTTTGTTTTGTCATGAGCCAAGTGTTGGCCATCTAGGATAGTATTTTAAAAATGAAAGAAAAAACCCAAAATAAAGAGCCCTCAGAAAAGTAGAGTACAATATATGTATATATTTTTTAGCTGCATTTTAAAGAAGTGTCAATACCGATATCATCATACATTCATGCATGGACATTAGTTTGCTGCTCGTATTTATTTCCTTTGCTTTTTCAGCTTCCTATTCTAATTCTATCTAGACCGTGATGCATCAATCTAAAGGTGTCAATTCAATTGCATCAATTTTCAAATGTTAGAACCGATTGTGCACATTTTTGGGCATAATGAATTCCTTGGGCTATTTTCAGATGTAAAAAATAAAAAAAAAGATAGCATAGTGTATTGTTTGATTATGTATTGTCCACTACTGTATAAATAGGTCTTCCCATCACATTTGTGTATTCAGTGTATTTTTATGAATCGTACTAAATTCATCACATCAAATCGTGGTAAAATTTCACATTTTGATGCACTGAATGCGCAGCTGAATCACTATGAGGGTGCAGATTTTGTGTTATACCCCTACTGAGTACCTGTCTCTGTCTGAGGAGTGGTAGCTGGTCTCTGGCCTCAAACATGTTGTACTGGCACTTCTGATTCTGTCCAGCGATGGCTGAAGGTCACTGAGAAGGACAAGAAAAAAAGAGAGAAAATAGGATCAGAAACATGATTGCTGAACATTATCACTGCTACTTGCTTTGAACATGTACATGAGGCGGCATTGCTAATGTTTATGAGCCATTCTACAGAAATAGTTCAAACTGCAGTCCCACAGTTTTTTAAACAACTATTCGATAAAACAATGAAGTATTCGTACCTTAGACAATTATGTCATGACATTAACTGAGACAGTAATAAGCTAAACAAAATCATCATTTATAGGGAGGTGTACTTTCTCTGAGAGGTGTCTGTCCTAAACACCCTAAACTCCCTACATTTACACTTCTGAAAAGAATACTTTTTCTTTTTTCAATGTTGTTTTTTATATATCATTTTGATTTCTTTTAAAGTGAAGTTGAAAGATTTAGATTTATCATGAGTTTAATTAAAGAAAACAAAAAACATTTTCATTTCACTACAGACAAAGAGTTTTAGTCCGTGGGCGGAGCCTTATTATAGCCACACCCCTGCATTTTAGAGCAGGAAGTGACACTGCATCCCTGTCCCTCATGGACACATGGTGAACAGTTAGATCCCATTGTTTTCAAGTAAATGTGTCCCAAAGTCAGAAAATCAGTGTGTAACTTTAAGAATTATCACTAATGAAACACATACTTTCTGTAATTACTTTTTTGTATTTTAATGAAAAATATTATGATTTTATGTGTGTATAGCAGTTCAAAGCTATGTTTGATAGTCATGTACTGACTAGTTATGATAAAATTAGCCAAAATTGTCACTGCAATAACAGTCAATTATAAAAACATTTGGTAAAGTTTCGGTGTTATGATTGTTTTGGTAGTGACAAAATAAAATGTTCAATCATTTGTTTTAATAAACTAATAAGATATGGGATCACTCAAAGCAAAAGAATTTTACTCTAACATCCAAGTCAGGTAAAAGCCTGAAATGTTTTTCAACTTCCTTATAAGCTATTAATGATTTCTATCTGAGAAAAAAGTTATACGTACAATATCTAGGCTAACTTACTTAACAATTGTTTTCTAGCTGATGCTAAAGCATCAGCCTAAAGGCCCTCAAGGACTGTCATAGCAAATCTAAGTATGTTTTCATTTTCATAATTTGTTTCTATTAAAAGCTGACCTATGTAAGATTTGGTGACTTGGAATCCCCTTTAGGTGGAAGTGTGTAACTGCCACAACGTGCAGAAGAACATTTTGTAACATGGGTTGTGTATTGGACTTGTTCGCTGAGAGGATGAATCTAATAATTGCAAGCGTGTTGAAAAAGTATTCAAAGAAAACTCAAAACTTAGTGAAGGACATGTTTTCTGAGGATGTAAGTGAATCCTGACCTTTTAAAAACTTTTAAATGATTACTTTCAGGCTTTATAGTGTGCAGCAGTCATATTTTAACCATATTTTAGTGTTTTTTTTCTCCTGACTCAGTAATGCTACTTCTTTCAATTTGAACCAACAATCTTACATAGTGCAGCTTTAAAATATAAACTTAATATTTAGTTTATTTTTATAAAAGTGAATAAAACAACAAAATAAATAAAATTGACAAAACGTTTGACCATATTCCAGACACAAGCAGTGTTACAAGAAAACTTCACATCTAACTTCACAGCTAACTTTACAGTGCAAAAATAATATGGTGGTTTGAGTTAAAAAAATATGTTAACCTGGCTACCTTAGAATTTTAATTTTGCTGAACTTCAAACTAAAAGTTAACAGAATGTAAGATCACAGATTACAGTATTGTTCACTTCTAACTAGAATTTATTTCAAGTAGTTTCAGGGCATTTCTATTGGCCCTTTCCTCATAAAATGTTTACAGAGTTTAAATGCACATGTGTGGTTTATTTGTAAATGGTGCAAATGTTACTGTCAGTGGTCAACCCTTTGGCCAATGGATAAACTGTGTTTGGACTGCAACTATAGCCATATGGAAAAGTTCAAACACCTCCAGGAACACGACATCCTCTACAGGGAACAAACTTACAGTGCTAGTATCATAGAAAGACAAATTTCTCTCACTTTTTTAAAATAAAGGAGTTTGAAGTAATATGTAAACATGGTTAAAGTTCCAAAGCGTACCATTTACTACTCAGTTCATACAGTCCATATATAGAAACTTTGCCTGTTTTGAATTCAGTGTTTCTGATGTTGCGAGAACCTCATTTACATCTATCAGCCTACAGCAGTTTAGCCCCACCCATTCATACTGAAGTTCTAAAGAGTGTTTCAGCTCGGACTGATGACAATACATGTTATTCAACCATGGACATCCAAACTTTTGCATACGACTGTAGGGGAATATGCTCATGGTAGCTTTGGACATATAGGTGAATATATGTGTGAACTTTGCATGAGGAGTCAGTCCTTCCGCAGCTTTTTAAGCCATGCCTCTGGGTGCTAAAGCGCCTCATTAGAGCTTTGGGAGCGTGCCCTTTTCTCTAGACTTGTTCTTGAACAGATGGCTGATGCACTAACTGTGTCTATAGGTCAGGGATATTGACGCATGCCTGGCATCATTTGGCCCCAGTTCTATTTCCCTCTCTAATCCTTTCTCTTTCTCTTCTCCACTCGCCTTTGGCCAGCTGGACATTAGATTTTATCACTTTGAAACCTGACAGCAATGATGAACGATGCCGATTAAAGCTCAGCAAGAGCATTAAGGGTCCAGTTACAAAGAACATGCTAAAAATATTTTCAGAGGAATCAGCGTTTTCAGTAAAACAGACCGGTCAGTGTAATCTTGGCAGTTAACTCTGACAGGCGGTGAAAATGCTTCTTACTAGCACTGTTGTAACTGTGTTAGTAACAAGATTTTATAAAAGAAATACTGAAAAAACAAGTTATTACTGTAAAACCGTTCTCCTACAACATTCTCACACATTACTGAGTGGTATGATTTTTTTTTTTCTTGTTTTTAATAAAGGTCCACTTTTATGTGACAAAAACAGTCATACTACTTTTTTATATGACCACTCCAAACCTCTCTTTATCCCTTTAAGCAGACCATTTTTGTTACTGGGCCTTTAAAGGGCCTATATCCTACATGTTCTTGCATTTCATTATCCCCTAGTCCACATAATAGTAATATTAGTGTTGTTTTATGTATCAAAAAGGTCATATTTAATTTTTGCATGACCATTCTTCAACTTATCTTTTAGCCTTAGAATTAAACTGGCTGTTTATGTTAATGCGCCTTTCTGACTGATTTATCTATATGAGCCCTGTTATGATTGGCTGCTCTGAATTGTGGCTGATTCAAAAAACAGTCCAGACTGAAAAACCTCCCATAACCTCAGCGTGAGTAGGTGGATCTAAACTGCTGCAGGAGGCTGTATGCATTGGTTTTTGTGACATCACAGAAACAATGAATTCAAAACAGGCTGTTCTGCAGCTTAGGCTCCTGTATGGACCTGGGAGTTTAAATTGTAGCAATGTTTACATCAAACTCTTTTATTTTATGGCCTGTGCAAAAGATAAGGCAAATTGCATATTTTATGTTGTTTTTTCATGTTAAACCCAGCAAATAAATAGACACTGTGCTCTAAAATTTGCGGTCTTTGTAGAGAGAGAGTAAACGTGAATGACTTTGTTCACATCTAAATGACTCAATTCTACAGAAATCTAGAAAGAATCAGTGGAATTGCCCTTTAAAAGCAGAGCACCTTTTCTGGGTTGCTGTCAAATCAAATGATTCTGCACATTTTCTTCCTCCACTTCTTTGCTAGCCTCAGTGTCTCAGAGTAAGCCCACAGGCCCTTACCTAATGCTGACCTCATCTGTAAATCTGAGCACGCGCTGTGGGACGGCGCTACGAGGGGCAACTCCGCCCACTTCTAGTCGCCGCGACGATTTACTCTTTAGGCATGCAGGAAGGGTGGAGCTTAGCATGGGAAGAAACAAGTAAACAAACAAAAAAAGCATGCAGAAACAAAACCAACAAGCGTAAAGTAAACTGTAAAGATATTTACATGAAGAACAGCTGATAAGCAGAAGAAATGAACAAAAGATCAAGCAAGTTTTTCAAGGTTGCTTTGTGGTGGATTATGGTTAAAGCTTAGGGTTTAAATGTCTTTTATCCTGTGGACTGGACAGACTCTTGGGCTACGTTTGCAGTTATTACTTTGATATATGACCTACAATCTGACTGGAATTTGCTCCATCCAGAAGGAAAATAGATTCCCAGGCCCATAGAAGCCCACAGGAAAAAAGAAAATAAAATCATGAAATGAAAAAGCTCATGGACTGAACAAAGCACACAGGAACTCATCTAGCTAAGTGGCAAAAGCTTGTGCAAAACACTTTACATTTGCTAAACCAGACGATCTATATTTTAAAAGTAAATTTGCATTGCAAATGATTTTGACTCTGAATGGTCAAATACAATATACCAGACATAATTCAGTAACAACAGTGTTCCTACTGGCCTTAACAGTATGAAGTGAAGGGGATAAATTGTTACACCAAAAATGAATGAAATGCATTTTTCCTGATTATCAGTACACAGATAGTTCTACAGGTGACCCTGATGCAGAGTGTATTCATTATTGCTAAAAAGTTCCAGTTTGGGTCTCCCTGGTTAAACGTCATTTTAAAGATTTCTTATGTGAAAATAAGTCAAAACATCCTCTACAGAGAACACACTTCTGCACATTTAATGCATAATGACTGTTTATTGGCTGAATTTAACATATTGGAAAAAAACATTAAATGTGGCCTTGTGCAAAAGTAATGGCACATTTTTTATTTGATGTTTTATTTTTTCCAATATATTAAATCAGCAAATAAATAGAAACTGCGAGCTAGAACTTCCAGAAAAATGCCACATTTGAGCATATTTTCTGCACTATAAAAAAATTAGCCAATTTTATTTAAAAAATTTAGTTACCAGGCTGCCTTGAAACATTTTAACTACACATTTTACGGTAGCTGATAACTTTTTAAAAGTTATTTTAAATGTTAAAACATTTTTTTTACAGTGTGTTAACTTATTTTCACTCAACAAAACGTGTCATTTGCCCAGGGGAGCTCAAACTTTTGCATACGACTACATTTTGACCATGGGTGGTGTTAAAGGAATTCTCCAGCGTTTAATCTCAATCTGCCACATCTACAGCAAACAGTCAGTTACCAATTACAATGATTTCTCTGTAATTAGAAAAAACAACAGAAAACACTTTAAATCCAGCATCTGCTCATTGGCTTGTTCTGTTTGCTTCGAGTTTCCTGTTATTTTCTAAGTACAGGGAAAAGTGTCAAAATTACTGTGCATGCTGATCGACCATATGCTACAGATGCAGCAAACAGAGATAAGAGCTAAACAGAGCTAAAAGTGCTGGGATATTCCTTTAAGCACAGACCATGGCATTCTGTAAACGTGCTGACCACTAACTGATGCAGTTCAATTACGTAACACACGTGACCCCTGCAGACCTGTTCATGTATGGAGATTAAATATAACTCAATCAGCTTATGCAACCATTAGATGGCTTTGCATCAGTTATCTCTAAAGCGAGACTATAGAAAACACCCATATGCTTCTGTAAACAGCCAAAAACAGCTGTTCTACTGTAAGTGGCTTATCTAGGACAGCCTTCCAAATCTGAGGTGCTGCATCTGGAAAGAATGTGTCAGTTTCACAGATGGATGAAAATCTTAGAAAACCTAATGACAAAATTGTGTATTTTCATTATTTTACATGAGCAATATTATATACAAACACAGCACCTATACATATGTAGCTAATTGGTACACATTGTGGCAAAGATGGATCGGCAATGGATGGGTATGTTGATCTTAAAGGAATATACCAGCACTTTCTAATCTCTGTCTGCTCCATCTGTAGCACATGATTCAACAAATCCCTGATGAATGACATTGAGATGTGGCAAGTAGAGATTAGGTTGGAAAAAAAGCTACAGTATTCCTTTAATAGCTGGGGTAAAGCTCTTACCTGTATATGTCTTTGTGAATGCCATTCACTAACAAGGGCATCTTTGGGGGCAAGGTATTACAGTGCCTAGCTAAGTTCCTAATCAAGTTAGTACACAGAATGGCCATGCAATGGGAAGAATAAAGAAAAGAAACACATTAGAGCAATGTAAACATGCAATTTGGACATGCATAGAAAAGATAGCTCTGCCTTTATGTAAGTATAATCACTGTAGCCAAATTCACTAGATAATATAAGCTAAGGCAAGCAACAGACATTGGCTCAAAGCTATATCTTATACATATCAATGAAGTTTGTTTTTGTTCGAATTCTTCACAGATTCTCAGAGTTTGAACAACAACCCTCAATTCCAAAACAGTTGGGACAGTAAGTGAAATGCTAACAAAAAACAGAAAGCAGCGACTTAGAAATCTTTGTAAAACTTCGACCTGTGGTTAAATAAAAACAGTACAAAAACAAGATGTTTAGTGATTCACTTTATCAACTTCATTGATTTTGTAAATATATGCTCATTCTGAAACTGCCTGTGACACATTTAGACTTGTGAAATAGTAAAAACATCTTAAACAGGTGATGCAATCATACTTGGGTATAAACGAGCATTCAGAAAAGGCCTGGTCATGAGCAGGAATGGGTTAAGGCTCACTATTTTACCATTAAAAACAAGGTTCCCCAATGAGTGATTGCAAGAAATCTATGTGTGTAAAGGGGAAGGCCAAAAACAACAATTGAATGCACTACATTAGAAAGTAGCACCACATGAGCTGTGAAAAATTTTGACAAACCACTGTGAATAGACACTGTGCCTCCACAAATGCAAGTTACTACTGTATTATGCGCAACAGAAGCCAAATATCAACAATGTCCATAAACGCCGCCAGTTTCTCTGGGCTTGAGTTCATCTAAAATAAACGGACAGACAGTGGAAACATGCACTCTGGTCTGAAGAGTCAAACTTTCAGACTGTTTGTGGAAATAATGGACGTTGTGTCCCCCGGGGTCAAAGGAGTAACGGAGCATTCAGATTGTTACCAGTGTAAAGTTTAAAAGCCAGGGTCTGGTATGGGGGTGTATTAGTGTCTATCGCATTGGTAACTGGCATATCTGTGAAGGCACCATTAACACTGAAAGATATACACACATTTTGGAGCAATATCTGCTGCCATTTAGATGCCATCTTTTTCAGGAATGTTCATGCTTATTTTAACATGACAATGCATCTGCATGTGATACAATAGCATGGCTGCTTAATTAGAGAGTGGGGGTCCTAGGCTGGCTTGCCGGCAGTCCAGTCCAGTCTCCCATTGAAAAGAAAGACCCTACAGGTCGCACAGCTGAAGACATCTTCGCTTTATTACAGGTCATCCAGAATTTGGTATTCACTGCTTTCCATTTTTATTAGCATTTCAGAGACTGTCCCAACTTGTTTGGAACTGAGGTTTGTCTTTGTGACTTGGAAAATAATGCTGGGCAGTGTTGTCAAATCAAGACAGCTTGACTGACAACCCATTTTATTTCATTTATTTATTTATTTAGTTTTACCTGTTTGTGTGCAGGCACTCAGCACTCCCGCCCCGGATTGACCTGTGCATCTCCAGGACCTCACTGAGGTTGCCATGGTGATGAATGACAAGACGAAACGAACGTAACCCAAGCCGAAAGTAAAAGGGATGGCCAATAAAAAACACATACGAATCAGTGAACAAAGGGAAATAATGACACACATATTTAGAAATCATAGTATTAATAATGATCATAACCATAGTAATGACTGAACAACTAAATGACTGTTAGTCATATTAGTAGTATTAGTAGTTAGCAGAGTAAAAGTAGGCTATTAAACAACTCGTCTGGGCAGTAACAATGCAGTTCATTAACTCTAACAGGATCTACTGCATCAAAAATCTTTATTATTAATATCAAAAATCTCATTATTACATCTACATTTTTGAAATGATCAAAAGTTTGGACACACCTACTCAAAGAAGGTCCTTCATTTTACTATGTTGCACATTTTAGAGTAATAGGAAAGATTTAAAAACTATGGAATTATGTAGTGATTCAAAATTTTGGGTTTAGATTCTTCAGAGCAGGTAATTTCTGCTTTGATGCAGCTTTATAGGCTGTTGGCAGTCTCTTCAAGGGAATTGCACAGATTTTTCAAAATTTCTGCATAATTTAATCATTAATATATAACCAAAGTCACTCAGATTGGTTTCACTTTGGATAGTAAATAAAATGACTATATTTCCATTGTAGTCATCATCATCCCTGGTTCCTATCACCACCACTGTAAAGAAAAACCATTTCTACACATTTCTCTACAATGAACCATTTCACATCAAACCACTCTGAATAACTTTGTTTACACCTCAATCACTAAATTATACAGACATTTTTCAAATCAGTAGAATTCCACTTTAAGTAGTTTCCTGAGGAGCCACCTGGGATGTATTTCTAAAAAGCTTGGTACAATCTTCACTTATGTCATCTTTTAACATTGTTTTGGGAATAATTTCATACACAGGTATTACCTTTGCTCTTTATATTTGTCTTAGAAACAGAGTTTGAAGCATTTAAGCATATGTTTGAAGATTAAAATGTCTTTAGGATTATAAGAAACATACATTCGATTAAGTGTGTCCAATCTTTTGACTGGTATTGACTGGTATACCTATAATAATTAACGATATATCTTTGGCTTTCAGCAGAGATCTGAATCATCATCAAAGGTTTCCTCCAAAAAACAAAACAAAACAAAACAAAACAAAACAAAACACTGTACCTGTCCTCAGAATAGTCGTAGTCAGAGTCTATAGATCTGTGCTCCTGCTGAGAGTTGTGGTAGAGAGTGGGCGAGTGAGAATGATGCCGGTTCTGATGAATTTCATCCAGACTTCTGAAAAGAGAGCGAGAGGAAGACATAAATAAAAACATGTTGGTGTCCTAAAAAAACCATTGTGTGGGTTTATATTTATTGTTTTTTACACCTTTTGAAAACCATCTGCTCTTTATAATTCCTGATGAATGCACCAATAAACATTCTGAAAAGCAAAAGTTACATTAGGAGATGTCTCAGCACTGCTGTGTCTGATGCCTTTCTACCAGTGCAACACACACTAACATACCACCACCACGTCAGTGTCACTGTAGTGCTGAGAATGATCCACCACCCAAATGGTAAGTGGTCTGTGGTGGTCCTGTGGGTGTCCTGACTATTGAAGAACAGGGTAAAAGGGGGCTAACAAAGTACGCAGAGAAACAGATGGACTACAGTCTGTAATTGTAGAAGTGCTCCTATATGGTAAGTGGACCTGATAAAAGGAGTGTGAATAGGAGGTGTTTACAATAAATACAAATAACAAGTAGTGATTTTATGTCTGTCAGTGTGTTTGGGTACCCATTTCCAAACCTCTGCTAGGAAGCCCAGTATTATTTCTACATATCATCAAACAACTGATTTGGCTAATCAGTCCTTCATTATGTTAACTGAGGTAATTTCACAAATACATGTGAAGGCTAGGGGCATCGAGGAGATCTGGAACCAAACTTTGTTCTTCAAACTAGCCTACAAAATATATATATCGACTACTTTTTTCAAATAAAAAAACGAGTCCTTTAAACGTTTGCACTGTATATATATAATACACATGGGGCATTTTATTATTACATACAGGTATTTATATATAAGAATGTTAGAATGTTTTTCTCCTTCTCCTGTAAAGTTTCTATTTTGGTTTTGTTCCAACAATAACACAATGGGTCATATTATTCCACATAGGTACATATAAATGACTGTTTCATATAAATAACAAATCTGTTTGTAAGCATGTATGTGTACCTCTGCATGGGCACATGTGTGGGTCTGGAGCGGGCTCTACACTGGTCCTCTCTGTGTGGGGAGACGGAGCGGGAGCGATGCTGGACAGCCGCCTGCCTCTCCGGAACGGTCAGTGTGCTGGACCTCTCTCTGTCTCTGGAATTCCTCTCCGCTGCTGGGATGTCATCATGCGCACACAAACACATAAACACACGCATTCACAAAGTGAGGGCTGTGCTTAAGTATACTCATCGTTCAGTGTCATCATCACATCTTTCCCAAGAGATAGAAAATCAATGTGTAGGTATCTTTAATAATGATACCCACAAATTCAGATTTTTAAGGCGGTTATTCAGCCAGAAATCAAATTGACAGTTTTCTCAGTTACTCGAAATGTAGTCATTCAGCCAAGACATGTTTAGTGTCTGAAGTTCTGCACTGAAGCTACGAAGCCAATGTAGCTAACAAATAATGGAAGCTAATACCACATCAAATAGCATTGTGCTAACTGCTTTTGTTTACGTTTATAGCTAATAGTACATCACACAGTGTCAGAAACCACTTCAGCAAGTCTATTTGAAATTACTATAGAAATCAACACAGTTTAAGGCAAGTGATGATTTAGGCTTACAGTGCTGGTGAGGTAGAAGTTTCCACGTCTTGTTAGCTACATCAGCCACCAAACATGCCTTGACTACAGATTGACTACATTCGGGCTAATGCTGAGAAATAAAGTAAATTTGTTCTGTCTTTTTCTGTGTCAAACTATTCATTTTAAACTCTCACTAGAGCTCATGCGAACGTGTTGTGCCGAACTACCAGCACAAGCTCTACCACTCTGAACATGCCAAAAAGAAGCCAAGAAACAGTGTACAGAACACTACCGCATATCTTTAACCATACAATATCAGATATTAATGCCAGGCTGCTAAAAATGATCAAAAAGCCCACACGGTGCAGCCTTATCTGTACAGTATTACATAGCAGTAGGGATGGGGTTACTAACAGTTTTAATGATATATTTCATGATATAAAACCCACATAAATGTAATAATTGAGATAACTGTCCAGTCTTATTGTCTTTTCAAAAAGTTAATAACTTACTAAAGATGAAAGATTAAAAAGTCTATAAATATAATACCCAGGGATGTGGGAAGGGACCAGGGGCTGCTGAATGCACTACATAAATCAAGTCACATTTCTAGAATGCCCTAAATCTGTGCTTGTTGTAGAGTAGAGTTTGTATTTTTGTTTTCTATATTCTAAAAAAGATGAGACATTATGTGAAATGCTAATAAAACAGACAGCAGTGTTTAGTACATTCTGTTTAAATTGCCTATGTTCAAATAAAAAAAGTACAATAACACAATATTTTTTGTGTTTTGCATTATAAATTGTTGCTTTTTTGTAAAAATATGCTCTAAACATTCCAAAAATGTTAGAAACTATAGTTATAGTTGGAGGTTGGAAGATAGGAGCACTTTTACCACTGTAATACATCACCTTTACTTTTAACAGCACTTAGTAATCATTTGTGGACTGAAGAGACCAACTGATCTGGTTTTGGAAGTGGATTGTTTTTTGCCACTCTTCCATTATGTAAGCCTTCAGCTGTGCAAATGCATGGGGCCCTTGTTGTCATATACTGTGCTTCATAATGACACATGTTTTCAATAGGACACAGGTCTGGACTCTCTGATTATACAGCCATGCTGTTGTAATGCATGTGGCTAGGCACTGTCCCTGAAAAAGATGTCATCTAGAAGGCTAAATGTGTTGCTCCAAAATGTGTGTTTATCTTTCAGCACAAAGCTCTGTGCTTTCACAGAGACACTAACACACTCAAATGTTATGACAAACCCTGACTTTTAAACTTTATGCTGGTAACAATCTGACTGCTCCTTTTCTTTCTTTGGCTAGGAGAACATGACTTCCATTATTTCCATAAACAATAGTATCAACTCACTGTGCATTCAGATAAGCCACGTCCAAAGACGTCTGGAACATTCCTTGCTTATAAAAGACTAGGCCTTTCCTGGATGCTCCTTTTATACTTAAATATTGCTGCGTCACCTGTTTAAGATGATTCTTGAACATTTCACCCACATTTCTAGTTTTGCCCCACCTGAATTTTTGGAATGTTGCAGGCATCAATGCCTGAATGAGCAAATAATTACAAAAAAACAACGAAATTCAATAACGTTGATAAGGTAAAACATTATGTATACAAACATGCATCTTGTCTTTGTACAAATTTCAACCAAAGTCATTACTTCCTGCAATTATCCTGGAGAGAACAGGCTTTGCGTCCATGGTCGGCTGCTATGTTTTTTATATGTGTAGAACTGTCACTGTATAAGACCCCCTACTTAAAACACCTTCCCACGTCCCTGATAATATCTGTGGTTAAGTGATTTCAATGATTTCAATATATTTTAACATCATAATAATAATCCAAAAAAATGTCAATTTTGGTCCCTGATATGATGATAAGAATTTTTTACATCATCCCATCCATAGATATCAACATAGATACTTGAAGTTTGATGTAATGACTTTTGTGACATACATGGCATCATTTACACAATCTCAGACAGTTGCATCAAACACGCCCCCTTACTTGAAGAGATTATATGGCTAAACCAGAATGATATGCTTAAAGCTGTGAGCCGTCACAGTCTTCAAAACTCTCCACGCCACAAAATCACTACTCATTACTCTACAGCATCTACAGCAAGCTTTGCTACAGGCATGCAACAGAAAAAAATACTTAAGGTTAACACAAGAAGTGAACCTTTTTTCATAAGACCCATATTAATGTGCATTAAGCTGTCATAGCCTGTTATTTCTGTTTCACAAGGATTATGCCAGCTTTATAGCACATTTCAATGGGACTTATGAGGGTGTTACGAAGTGCTACTGCTGATTTAACTACGGTGCCATTCCTGAGATTTCCATGCAGTTTGGTTTGTGAGTTTATCTCTGTGGCGCAGCTCCATTACTACCATAGCCCAGCAGAGGGGGAGAAAGACTGACTTTACCTCTAACAAACAACAAACAAACTGAATGATGCTCCATTTGTCAGCCACTGAATTTGGAATTGTTCTGTGGCATCATTTCAATACAAAAGTTTGGATTACAGTGTCTAGTCTTTACTTGCCAGAACTAATAGTTATATATGTTTTATTATCATTGATATTTTAAATTTTGGTTCAAAAATGTTCATCTACTGGTCTTTCAGAAAGGTTTTTTGTCACATATTATGTGGTTCAAAGGTTTGGAATCATTTTTGTTATTTTATATACAATAATAACTAATACAATATAGATTAAAATACTGAACAAGATAAAATAGACACTAGTATTTCAGATGTTTAATTCTACATTTGACGATAAGAGATCAATGAATGATATGTAGAAATGTGCAAACATTAGAGACCAGTCAAAGTGGACATCATGTACAAGTTATTCATTTGACTGCATTAGAAAAATAGCCGAAGCCTCAACAGCTAGATACCATCATATTTCTTGTTATTTAATGTGTCCACGTTTTGCCTTTACTACAGCTTCCATTCTTTTCATGAGACTTGGTTTCAGCTTTTCAAAGAAATTTGCAGGCATATTTTTCCACATCTCCAAACTTCAGTCTTAAAAGTTGGTTACACAGGATACAAACATTTCTGAATTTGTTTTACAGCTTCCTACTAATTGCCTAAAACTAGTGTAATTCTACAGGATGAGCATACTAAAATTATTTTAAACATTTATCTGCAACAAAATAGATTTTATATTGTGGGAAACTTTGATTCCAAACTTTTGAACAGTAGTGTATGATGGTAGTTGATTTCATCACAAAATGGACACAAATGACAATCTACTGAGCCAGTGGTACATTATGAATCACAACGTCTTCTTTCTCTCTCGCCCTGTGCTGGACGTCTATTGCATGACCACAGCAACCATGCCCCCACCCCACCCACCTGAAGACACTACCGTAATAGCATCATCATAATCACTCTCAATGATGCGGTGAGATCCTGAGACATACACACACAGCATACAGTTGAATTGCTACTATAATACGGCATCATACAGCACACATTGATAAGGAGATTTCAAGCAGAATGCTATACTGTATATAGACCTCTGAGGACCTGTTGTCACTTTGTTGTTCACTATTAGCATTTGTATGCAGTTGTTTTGGTCTATGGGAAGAATGATTGGAGTTTTTGAAAGTAGTCTCAGCGCGTTCTACAGTTAGCTGACGACATTCGAAGCTGATACGTTTTGTCCTACGTACATTTCTACTCTCAAATATAACTGTGTCATTTGAATCGTGAGCTTATGTGCTACATGGATGCTAACACGTGCAATTAAACGATATCATAAGACTCACAACCTTACCCCACACAAGCCAGTAAGGTTAGTTAAGTGGCTTTGGCAATAACAGGCTACAGTTGGAGAAGCTAGCAATGGCTCTTTTGTGCTCAACATTAAATATGGTTTGGAGGCTTTTGTCTGTACTCTGTGTTCATTTCAGCTGTATTTGTGCACATTCTTTGAAGAATTATGGATGTGGATGAAATGAAGCAGTATCACCGGAAATCATGGGGGCAGTGTAGCCAGTGTAGTTCAAGTGAAACACAACCAGAGTTGGTTTATGAGAAGCCTGGCCACTTCCTAGTTATATCAAAAACATCACTGCAAAAGTTAAAATAGTTTCTAGTCACTTGCCCAGAACTTTAATTTTAGAAAGTAGAAGGACGTATTTCAATAAAACAGTGAAGAATTCCTATAACTCGAGTTCAAAAGCTCTTAGAAATATAACAGCAGCGTTAAAATGTTTTATGCTCTTCGTATTTCTTTCTATAAAAAATGTTTATGCATTGATAAACTATGATTTTGTTCAATGCTTAACTCAATGCTTAACAATGCCACTCATTTTGGACTCCCTCGCTAGTGCCCTCTAGCGTTTGAGAAACCCAGAGGACATTACAGAGTGGTAATGCTCCTCTTTACAAGTTCTCTGACACAACCATGGCTATTTGCCTATGGACACGATGAAAAAAAAAACTAAAAACGTTTGAGGAGAGGATGTGCAACTTGGTTAGAAATTTTACACATCTATAAACGTTTAAACATCACCTTTGCTGTTGTTGTCAGAAACTTTTGACTTAGGACTTATTTTCGTACGTAAAGGGAGTACAACTAGTATATACTAATAGTAGGGGCCTTACTTTCATTTAACTTCATTACTGCATTTCAGCATGCAAGAATGTTAGTCTGCCTGTAGCAATATCAGAATTTCGAATACTTAATGACCTCATAATTTAGGATCCAGTGACATTCAGGGAGAAAAATGTATGTAGGATAAAATGGTTTTGGAAGATTTTCGTCTATTACAGGGTGCAGCAGGGGCAATTTTCAAAAACACCACTCATTTTTCACAGAGAACACCGCTACAGGGTTACTTATTTGGGCATGTCGGAGGTCCTTGTTCGGGCATGTTGAAGGTCCTCCAGAGACTCTTACTAGGGACTACAAAATGCAACATGACCTCAGAGGTGGAGTTATATAATAACTAAATATGGTATACAAAAGTTTGGGCACCCCTGGTCAAATGACATGTTTTGTTGATTTTCTAAGTGAAAACACTTCACACTTCTGTACAGTTTAAAGCCCAATAGTTGTTTATTTGCTGAACTTGACCAGAGATGCACAGTATTTTCTGAAACTAAGAACACCCTCAAAGGCTCCATAGCTAAATATTGTAAAACAGCAGGACCTTGTTAGCACATCTATGAAAAACTCCGGCATGTGTGAGACACCAATTAGGTACATTTATAGTGACTTTTTTATTTTTGTCTTGACTGTTGCCTCCTGCCTGGCGTACAGTGCTGTGAAAAAGCCATTCACCTGATTTCTTCTATTTTTGCTAATTTGTCACATTTAAATAGCTCAGATTCATCCATCCATCATCTAAACCGCTTATCCTTCTGGGCCGCGGTGGGGTTAAATATCTCAGATCATCCAGCTAATTTTCATATAATATGAAGACATCACGAGCAAAAACAAAATGCAGCTGTTAATGATCATTTCCATTTATTCATGATAAAGATTAATTCAAAACCTATATCACCCATGTGAAAAAGTGATTGCCCCCTAAACCTAATGACTGGTTGTGCCACCCTCGGCAGTAACATCTGCAATCAAACGTTTGCAATAACTTGCAATGAGTCTTTTACATCGCTGTGAGGAATTCTGGCTCACTCTTCTTTGCAGAATTGTTTTAATTCAGCTACACTGGAGGGGTTCTGAGCATGAGCTGACCATTTAAGGTCTTGCCACAGCATTTCAATGAGACAAAGTCAGGACTTTGACTCAGCCACTCCAAAACCTTAATTTTGGTAGGCCAGCCACTCCTAGGAAGGTTCACCACTGTTCCAAGTTTTCTCCATTTGTGGATAATAGCTCTCACTATGGTTCGCTGGAGTTCCAGAGTCTCAGCAATGGCTTTTTAACCCTTTTAAGGCTGGTAGATTTTAACAACTTTTATTTCGCATCTGAATTTGAATTTCTTTAGAACGTGTCATCATGTGCTGCTTTTTGGCTGGCTTCACACTGCCAGACAGGTTTTATTTAAGTGATGTTTAGATCCAGCAGGTCTGACAGTAATCATGCCTTTGTGTGGATGGTGAAATTGAACCCAATAATTAGTTGAATTTGGCTAACTGGTTGATTTAGTAGCTAAGGGGGCAATTACTTCATCACATAGGGCCAGTTTGGGCTGAACAGCATTTTTCCTTTAATGAATGAAACCATCATTTAAAAACAGCATTTTGTGTTTATTTGTGTTATTTTTGTCTAAACAAATGTAGTTTGATGATCTGAAACATTCAAGTGTGACAAATATGCAAAAATAGAAGAAACTGGAAAAGGGCAAATACTTTTTCACAGCACTGTAGAATACATAAAACGACTATGGTAAATGGACCACAAACTTTCAAACTATTCACGTCATTCTCTGTAGAGGACAAACTCTGTAAAGAGCCAACTTTTTCACTTAGAAAATCAACAAAATATGTCATTTAACATGAGGTGCGGGGTGTGCAAACTTTTGCATACCACTGTATACACGCTTATTCATATTTTACTTATACAGATGACTAACGGTATTTTAATTTGTTCATCTAAAATCATATCACTGCAGTCTTACACCTAAAAACAGTCACATGGTTATACACAATCACAGAGTAATAAGGCAATGGTGGGCTTTTAATACCTGAAGGAAACTGATCATAACTCGTAATGACTTTGACTGGTCAATTCTTTTAATTCCATAAGATGTGCATAAGATGAATATAGTTTGGTAAATTCTTATTTTTCTCGAATTTGGATATTTTTTACATTTACAGAATTTGGCAGATGCTCAACCATAGTGGCTTACAATTTATTCACATTACAGAGGTGAATGTAGAGTTAAGAGTCTTGCCCATGAACTCTTATTGGTATGGCATGATGTGCTTGCCTGGGTGGAGAATCAAACCCCGGTCACCACAGGAAGGGTGCTACCCACTAAGCTATACCGTCCACCTTGAACCTTATTACTACATGAATGTGTTCCAAGTCTAAAACACATTTTTCCACATTTTTTGTTCAATTCACACAAACACTTACTCTGTAGCTTCTTGCTAGGGCTGTCTCCATGGACGTGCCTGCGGGGGAGGTAGGGAGAGGGCTGGGGGAGAGGGAGGGAGGACACGTCATGGCTCTGCAGCTTATACCAGTGAGGCTGGTCATCCAACAGAGCCGTCTCCAGCTCTATCAGGATCTGAAAAACACGTGAAACAGTTAATTACTGTAGTACACAACACTACAATCCTACCACACTACCGCAGTAGTGTACCTATACTAATTCTAAACACTTATAGACTAATATCACTAAAAGACAAACATAAACACATTTCAGCTTCTTGACCCTTAAAAGTCACTGATAACAAAGACGTAGTAATTTTATATGAATTATTTCTCATGCATAACTTGGAGTCAAGCACAGAAATTCTGTTGAAAGTGCAGATTCTGAATGTTTAATGTTGAATTTAATGAAAAGCTATTGTTATACTTACAGTCATGTTTTCCAAAAAGAAAAAAATTATTTACTTTTTTACTATGTTATTGTCATTTTTGACACTGAAACAAATGTAGAAGTGCAGACTCAATCTGTCAATAAACAATGTAAACGGAATGTAAATGTAATTAATTATACAACTAATAATGAAATGTATTATTCAATTATGTAAGTACATCAATGAAAGCAGCACTGTGTTAGTTTTGGAGGTTTGAAATCATCTCTGTGTAATCGCACACGAAGTGTGAAACTTCAGTTATGATTCAGACACCTTCCCAACAAGGATGAATCTACTGATTGTGAGTGCATTAAAAGAGCGCTCAAAGAGAACAAAACTGGGTGAAGGGGGTATCTTCAAAGGTTGTAAATGAATTATCTACTACCATCATCATATCTTCATCAGTGTAATGTTGATTTTACATTTACATAACTATGCAGATGTAGTAATTTTATTCATGAGGAAATTATGTACACATTGGAATCAAGTAAATTCAATTCATTGCTTTAACATGGGTGCATATTTCACGGCTCTCCACTACACACAAACCTCCCCGAGGAATTCACTCTCCTCCTCTTGTGCTCTGGGTTGATCCCACACTGTGATTTCCAGCATGCGCTCCCTGAAGTCCCTGCGGTGAACATGTGAGTACAGAAACGTCTGATTCCATTTGGGCTCCGAGCTCTTCTTCACTGTCTTCGTCCTCCTCTTGCTCTTGTCACTAAGAGAGATTGACATTACAGTATATATATATATATATGTGTGTGTCCAGAGACTGACTGCACATGTATATTGCTGGGACATTGCTGGTGGTGTCAAGTAATAAGAAGCTATATTCAACCTTTTAGGTGATGATTAATCAAAACCAAAATGACACAGTTTTCTCCCTCACCTCAAATGGATTTGATCAGCCAAGACATGTTTTTCCATTATCGAATGAGAGGTTGTCAAGAGCCGGGACACTTCTCACTGCAGTAGCAGAGTTTGGCTAGGCTGTAAGTGAGGATCTTGCACTGTGATAATGGACTTTTGCTAGGCCACTAGCTGGGAAATTTGCACCGCGACAGTGGAGTCTGACTAGACTGCAAGCCAAGGACTTTGCACCATGACAGTGGAATCTGACTAGGCCAAAAACCGGGGACTCTGCACTGTGACAGTGGAGTCTGACTAGGCCGAAACCAGGGACTCTGCACTGTGACAGTGGAGTCTGACTAGGCCAAAACCAGGGACACTGCACTGTGACAGTGGAGTTTGACTAGGACAAAAACCAGGGCCTCTGCACTGTGACAGTGGAGTCTGACTAGGCCAAAAACTGAGGACACTGCACAGTGACAGTGGAGTCTGACTAGGCCAACAACTGAGGACTCTGCACTGTGACAGTGGAGTCTGACTAGGCCAAAAACTGAGGACACTGCACAGTGACAGCGGAGTCTGACTAGGCCAAAAACTGAGGACACTGCACAGTGACAGTGGAGTCTGACTAGACCAACAACTGAGGACTCTGCACAGTGACAGTGGAGTCTGACTAGGCCAAAAACTGAGTACTCTGCATTGTGACAGTGAACAGTGGAAAAATTTAGGAGTGAGTGAAAACTATTACTCACTTGACTATGCTGCTAGCTGAGGACTGTGCATTGTGACAGTGGAGTTTGACTAGGCTGAGAGCCCTAGACTCCGCACTGTGACAGTTGTGCTTGACTAGGCCAAGAGCCGGGGATTTTATACTGTGACCGTGGAGACTGACTAGGCCAAGAACCAGGGACTCTGCACTGTGACAGTGGAGTTTGACTAGGCCCCAAGCTGAGGACTTTGAACCGTGACAATGGAATTTGACTGTGCCCCAAGCCGGGGACTTTGTACTGTGACCATGGAGTCTGACTAGGCTGAGAGCCGGGAACTCCACACTGTGACAATGGTGTTAGACTGGACCCCAAGCTGGGGATTTTGCACTGTGACAGTGGAGTCTGACTAGGCAGAGAGCCAGGGATTTTGCGCTGTGACAATGGAGTCAGACTAGGCCCCAAGCCAGGGACTTTGTACTCAGACAATGGAGTTTGACTAGGCAGAGAACCGAGGACTTTGCACTGTGACAATAGAGTTTGACTAGGCTGTGAGCCGGGGCCTATACATAATGACAGTGGAGCTTGATTAGGCTACGAGCCAGGGAATTTCCACTGTGACAATGAAGTTTGACTAGGCTGCGAGCTGGGGACTTTTCACTGTGACAGTGGAGTTTGTCTAGGCTGTGAACCGGGGACTTTGAACCGTGACAACGGAGTCGGACTAGACCACAAGCCAGGCACTGTGATGGCGGACATTGACCGCAAGCCTGCCAGCTGGGAATGTGTGTGTATATGTTTTGTTTGCTGTTATTTGGAACTGTAAAGAGTCCTTGAGTTTGAGAAAAGCAGAATATGAATTAAACAATAAACTTAACTAAACAATAAATGAAAACTGACATTCAGATACGTACTGACTGTTATGTTAAGCCTGTAACATTCTGTTAAATAAGAATTGCTCACCTCCTATCAGGCAGGAAATACATTTTGACGTAAGGGTTTCCGTGGTCGGCCGTCTGGTCGAGGAGGCAGGTCTCTGGCATGTAATACGTTGACAATAAGTTGATGGCCCACTTTGTCATACCACAGTTTCACCTGGTTGTAAGAGAAAAACATGCATAACTCTATTAGCTTAAACTCAACAAAAGAGGTATTTGCTAAGTACAACAAATTTACATAAACCGAAAAACATGCAAGGGTGAAAGTTGTAGCTGTGGTGTTACTATCGCAATTCAATGCACTTTATATTTATGAGTTATATTATAAATGACAATAAGATCTAGTAACCATCATCAAGCCTGAATTTTGTCCAGAGTTTTGTCTATATTTGTAGATAACCATCTGCGATGATTTAGGTACACATTTTGCATGATGCCAAGCTTCCATTACTTGTTAGCTACAGTAGCCTTGTAGCTCAAATGCAAAAATAAAGAAGCAAACTTGAGGCACTTAGCTGACCAGTTACATTTAGGATAAGGGGACAGCTGTGAATTCAAATTTTTGCCAAATTATTTCTTCATACCTTTACACCTTCTTGTAGCTGTGGCGTTATCTTATTACTGAATTTCATTGCAATTATATTTCTGTTCCTACTTACTGAAAGTTGGCCTGGTAGAACCTGAGGGAGGTCTCTCAACATTCCAGGACTTGTGGGGGACATCACAGAGATGGAAGGATGATCCATTTTTTGAGACTCATCTATAGAGCTTGAACCAGCTAGACCAGCAAAGAACATACAATAAAATAGGTTAAAATATTGGTCAGATACTAATATGAGATGAAAATTAAGAAATAAATAAAAATATATATTATATATATAAAATGTATATTATATATAAATATATAGTATTAAGGTATAGTATTTTTTTGTGAGAACACAATCCTGAGATGGCAGGCCTGTTGTAAATATACTGCACTTAGGTAAAAATAAATAAGGAAATTAGTTTGGCAAACTTACTAGATTCAAGAGGAGGATGTGATGTCTGTGGAATTCTTGGTGTGTCTCTTCAAAAAGGAAAATACAATAATTTAAGAGATACAATATATTAAGACAATGTTTTAAGAGATGTTACATAAAAACACATAAATTACTGCGGCTTAACATACTGGACTGATTAATGTTAGCACCATAACCCAGTCAGGGAAAGAGCAGGGATCCATAGGGTTACATTAGCTTCGTATGCATACATTGCTAATATACTAGCAATGCTAACAACAATGCCATCATTTAAGGTTTGAGGGTATTTTAGGGTCAGGCACTGGGCACTGGGGACAATATCACTGTCACTGTTGTGCTTTACTTACTGATAAGCTCTATACACCTTTCTCAAGAAGTTTTTGGAAAGAATACGATGGATACATCTTTTACATGCGGTGGGAAAACAAATCACAAATGCACATCAATTTGAATTACGGTAAATGCAACAAAATGAAGCAACTGAATCTGAAGAAACTGGTCAGTACATTTCAATAAATCAAAACCTGCGTCTGCTGTATATTCAAATATTAAAATAATGCTTATTTAGTTTCTGTATGTGGACTGCTGCCTTCTCCAGGCCTATTTACAGTTCTCTCTTCAGAAAACTAGCAGGCATAATTCCACAAACTACCTAGAAGCCCTCCAACCTAAAGGCAAGAACTCTGTCCTAGCTTGATCTAGTAACTTGAGAGCTAGCAGATTAAATCTTAAAGCATCCTTGTGGTTGATAAAGAACCACTTACAATACAGTTGTGGTTCATTATGCTTACCCAATTGGTCTTGAAACAACTATTTCTACTTGAGGTGCAGACTGTGACTCTAAAATGATGTTGTACACTTCCTTCTTGGTTGCTCCAGGCAACGCCTTCCCATTCCACTGCAGCACCTCATCACCTGAAATCAAAATGGCCTTCATTTAGTACACCAGCCTTCTTGGTCTGTACAGCCAGGAGTACATTTTAATAAGTTAAACGCTCTAGCAGACAAGAAACAAATTTAAATTGAGCACATGAGTGAAGTTCATCATTCTTTCAGGCCAACTGAGATCACATATTCAAGCTTTATTTACATTATAATTGATATGAATTGAGAGAAGGCCCATCCTCCATGGAGATGTTCTAGAATTCAGGACAAGTTAGCCATACAGCGTGAAACTACTGAACATTTAATAGTCCTCACCTGCCCGTAAATGGCCTACAATGTCTGCGAGACTTCCTTTCTTTACTTTGGTGATGAAAGCTCCAAGTCGTCCAGTCTCTGTCATCTTCCCGCCAACCACCTGAATACATCAAACATCATTTATTCGCACAATGTAAGACCTTGAAGCTAAATTTTGAGCATTCAAAGAATGAGAACATAAGTTTAAACATAATCAAATATCCCACAGGAGCCTTTTCTGACAGGAGACAAAGACTTCAAACTCTTATTCTCTGGTACGGTTTGAAGACTTAATATTTAGGCCCAAACCCATTTCACCCCTTACCTCTACTACATAGCCCTTAGACCTCCATTTTGCACGTTCACGCCTAGGGGTGGGGTGTCCCGAGTTTTGTTGAGGTGGAGGGGTAGGCTGAAGTGTTAGGGCTGCACGGCCTTCCAAACGAAGGTTTTTCAGAGGCACACTCCAAACAGAGTGTTATGAGAAAAAAGAACAACTGGCAAGACGGCTGCACAAGCAACCAAAGAAACACACACGTGAGAATTTTCTCCATCAAAAAATTACGATACCCGCTGTCTTATCTTAGTTTAATGTCGTTTCAATGTATTATAGTCCTTTTCTTCAAAACATGCCTAAATTGCTAAAAGTGTGCTGATGTCTTGGTAGCTAGCTGGCTAAATTTCCGGTTCCACCTTAAATAGTCCAGAGTATTGACGCCTGAAGCGAAAGAATGTGACCGCTGCATTACTTAAGGTGAAACGGGAAAATTTGAACAAGAAGCTGGTGGATAGCTGACTTCAGCTTCACATCACCAAGAAATTAGGGGTGAGTGATAATTATTTATTATCACCCCCCCCCCTTTGAAGGCATATGATTCCCTAAATTTAACTAAAGACCAGCAGCAAAGTTGCTGAACTTTACCCTCGTCTGCTGTCACTGCAGACTGGCAGGGTCGCCTACAGAGCACCGCTAGTAGCCTGATAATGAAGTAATGTTATTTTTTATTTGAGGGTTGCCCGTTTCTTAGGGGAAGATCTCAACCACTACCCCTTGTAACTCAGTTCCGAGGGGCAAGGTGACACTCGAAAACAAGGTAAGGGTAAAAATAAGAAATGGGATTGGGCCTCAGTCATATCATATTCATTACCTTAGATGGATGTACTTACACAGATAAAATGTATGGACAAGATTTTAAGTAACATAAAGTTTTACAGTAATTAGTAGGAGGACATCATATTTCTTAATAAAAGTCCAAATGTTTGTAGACACCTGCTGATCCAACATTTCTTCTGAAATCAAGGGTCTCAATAGGGAATTTGACCCTTCGTTGCTGCAGCAGCAGCCTCTTTCTCATCCGAGAAGGTTTTATATAAAACCCATGTTAAAGTACTGCTGTGAGGATTTGATAGAATTCAGCCACGAGAGTGTTATTAAGGTCCATTTCCACTCTAGCGTTTTTAAATAATGTTGTCCCTGACAACTTCAAGCTCCTTCACCATGATCTCTACTTGCTGCATGAAATCTTCCAAACCTTTGACAACATATTTTATAATGATGTAAGGCAAAATTTTCATTGGAATACATTTTTACAGAACAATCTCTGAATACTTGTTTGCCCTAACTGCAGTGCTTTGTCTAGCTGAGGGAAGTGTTAGTTGTGAGATGCAGACAGAGATGTAATGTATAGCAACTGGCAGTGGTACACAGGCAGTCGTGAAGCAGGGAAGAGCTGAGATAAGCCTCATTCCAGAGCCTAGCCATGTGTAATGTAGCGTGGCGTTGTGTTTGGTGGGCGATGCAGAGAGAGATGTGTAAGTTGTGTAATGTACAGCAGTTGGCAGCAGAAGAGAGGCGCTGACAGGCTCACCTTTAGCCCTAGCAGCGAGCCAGCTTCTCGGGGCATGGCCGAGCGCTTGCTCAGAGTAATGCGGCCGATCAAATGATCTCCCTCTTTGGACGGCTGCCAGGTAACAGGATGCTGAGGAGAAATGGAACGATGCTTTTCAATCCCATTAATGATGAGCACACTCTCGCACTGATGCATATACACTGTCCAATAAAACACACACACACACACACACTGTGCATTACCAAGGACTTACCGTATGAGAGGTGTTATACCCAGTTTTGAAAAACACAAGATCAGTTTGCATTTCATTCGTAATTTCTTCTGGGCATGAACTGTTCCCTCACTGGACTATTAGAAATGTTACCAAGCTATCAGTATTAAAGATGACAGAATTAACATTTGCAAAATATTAAGAATGTTAAGAGTAGGTATTTAAAAATGATGACAGTATTTCAAAATTATGACCTGTCCAGATTTAAAGGGACCTTATAAATGGTGCTGATAGAAAGATGAAAAACTAAGCATGCTATCAGCTCAGTGACAGCTAAGAGCTACACACACACACACCACAGAACAGAACAGAGCTTCCACTCGAACACCAGTCACTCAACGTTACACTCTCAGATACCATCTAAATGGGTGTCATTTTAGCGTTAGTTAGCTGGAACCAAGCCTGTGCTTTGTGGCACATTTGGCCTGATAATTCCGCTTTCGTTAGCTTAGCCAAAAAACCTACAGTCCCAAACACCACAGAACAGGTTTGGTTGCGGCCTTCTGTTACTCCAACAGCAGTCACTCGACTTTTTCTCGACATTAGTTTTTAGCATCTAAACTTGATTCAGCAGAGCAGCAGTTATTCAGAAGCAAACCTGTACTGTGGTGTGTGGCACTGCTTGCAATACAATCTGTTCTGGTGTATTTGGGACCTGATCGGCTACTAATTAAACCACAGGTTTAATTTGGCTTTTCTGTCCTTTCAAGCCAGTGGCATGACTTCACTTCTTCAGATCTGAATTATAAGCATCTAAACTTCTGTCTGCACTTTAGTTTGCCAGAAGTGAACATGTTCTTTGGTAAGCAGAGCTGTTATACTAATGCTGACCAGCTCCTCTCTTGCAGTTAGGAGCACTGTAAAACATTTATGAATTGTTAGATAGATGGCTTGACATTTACTGATGGATGCACTGTGTTCACTTATTTGGTGACCATTTTAGAGAACTGAAGTTTTGATTATTTATTAGTTTTGAAATCGAGGAGGCATAAAAGTGTCATAAATGTTTTTACAACACTTACAATGCTTTTACACACAGACACTCCACCCTCTCATAATATCATATACCACAATAATATTAGGAGACAGTTTGAAGACATTAAAAAAGTGCATACAGTCCACCTCAACTTATGAGTCAGTTTTTTTCTTTTCCAATATAAGTGCTGAAACCTTGAATATCAGCTGATACTGATCTGATATTTGCAATGTTGGGATAGTAGGTTATGCATTATATTTCTTATTATACAACAGTTCCGACCACACAAGCTGATTGGTTGAGAAATGTTCTAACTGTGCTGTTATTTCACCATAACATCACGTTTTTTTCACAAACACTGTATCACCCTGCTAAGACGTTAAGACCTTTGACAGCTGTAGGAGACGCTCAAGCCATTTGAACTTTTTTATTTCTTACTTTGCCACAAACAGAAAATGGATACTTTTAAGATCACATTTGACCGACAGCCGATTTGGTCAGACTCTGAAGATGAGGCTACACTAAATTCCCAAACTGTCATAACCACTGAGCAGCTTTTCAGTCGGCAGCTGTGACAGAAGAAAAGCTAAACAACCTGGAATCAGCCAGAAATGAACCCAATACAATTCGCCAAACAAAATGGGTTGTAAGATGCTTTAACAAAACAACATAATATTGATCTAGCAAAACATGACAAAACTGAGCTAAACTTGATATAGCTGCAGTTTTATGGCTCAGTCCGTACTTCAAAAGGCGATGCTTACAGCATAATGTGCAGCGAGTGAGTGGAGTTTGTTACTCCGACATTTATTTCTTACTTAATTTATTTAACTGTTGTATAAAAGCAATAGAACACTCGAAGTTGTGTGTTATCAAGATGACACACTCCCTCTTGTGTTCTATTGCTTAATTACTTGCATGAAAAAGTGGTCTCCATACTCCTTAGTTTACTTCTGCCTTACTCGCTAGAACCAACACATCTGTGCCAACTGTAGAGGCTAAAACCCAGTGGTCCTTTCAGTCCTATAAACGTGTGTGTGTGTGTGTGTGTGTGTGTGTATTACATGCACAATATATGTTTACTTATTATTGTGATATCGGCCTTTGAAACACTGATATCATCAAGGTTGCAATATGCAAATGATCCTTCTAACAAATCACAGTGTTTTTTACTATGTGCTGTGAGCATCATGATCAATCACAGCTCCAGACCAGGATCTAAGACTCTGAACTCCTCATGTTAAATTAATGCCAGTGATGGCTGCATTCTCTTTATTGTGATTCTTGCAATTTCCCTGCAATCTTGAGTATTTTTCTTGAATGTGGCTGCATACTTAGGCTTACAGCAGTTCAAAGATACTTCTCTACACTGTTAAAAAAAGGGTGGTAAATGGTTCTTGGCATGGATGTACTAGAGAAATACTTTAATTACACTATAAGGTGGTTCTTTTAACTTTAAAAATGTTCTTTACGCTAGCACCCATCATTCACAAAAATGATTCTACAAAGTATGATCCACTAAAGTGGGGAATGAAAATTGGTTCTTGCCCCACAGAATCATTTTGGCACCTTCATTTTTAGAAGTATATCATTTTATGGTGATGACGCTGGATACACATTCCTTAATTACACTGTCAGTTAACAGTGTAACAGTTAACAGGGCGAAGTGTACGACTAGTGGTGTATTTGCCTATCTGCTCTGTGTTTAATACAGAGCACTTCTCCTGACGGAATCGTGGCCTTCCCTGTGTCTTTCTCTACGCTGATGCTACAGTACTACAATAAGCCTATAACCATGACACTTACCTGACACTATGCCTTGGTCTATATCACAGTGACAATACTTATACAATGTATTGCCATCCATAAACAAATGAAAATATATGAGCCTGTTAACAAATTCCCTTCTCTTTACCATTTTCTAAATAAAATATGTGAATAAAAACTTACATGCCACACAGTTGGATCTAGAGGATGGCAATCCCAGTCACCTACAGAGAAAGAACAAACAGGAAATGGTAGAGCAGACAGGAAAAAGCATAGACAGTGAGCGTCATTACATATGCTATGTAAAGGCAGCCATATTTGCTTTGGCTCCATTAGTGCAGTGAGTTATAAAATATAAAAGTCATAAAAAATACATTGATATGTGCTGTATAGAGCAGGATTTCCCCTGAAGCTGGGTTCAAACCCACTAAACTGGCACACTACAAATCAACATTCTGTGAAATGACTTTAGTAGTGTCTAATAGTGTGCAGCCTTTTGTTCTTCACATATACTGAGTAGAAGACTTTTTAGCCATGCTAAGTTTGGACCGACTGCTCTAGGACACTGTTAGATATCAGCACAGTTCTAGGATCAGAGTGACCTTTGGATTTAAATCATTTAGCGTCAGATCTTGTGAGGGCAGCTTTGACCTGAAGTGACACCATGAAAGAATGATGCACAACAGATCCCTAACAACGTTTAGCAGGTGACATTAGCGAGACTGTTAGCAAGACCTTTAGCAGTGTCCACATAATCCACCCATAAGGCTGCAGTAGGGTACACAGACAATGCTAGCGGAAGGATAGCTTAATGAAAAGGGGCTAAATAAGGACATAGATTAACGACAGCCAGTCCGGATGCTATGAGCTGCCTCGTATTCACTCTTAGCCCTGCTAACGGTTCTTGCTTGTTAGCAAGAACAAGAATGATTCATACTGCTAACTGCTAAAAGAATTGCACAGAACTGTACAGAATTCAGGCATCCTAAGCATTTTCTTTGAGGGAGTGAGGCTTTAGTACATCAGATTCCAAAATCTGGGAGGTCCTTCAAAATCCAAATTTACTGAGAAAAACATTAGCATTTTATAACACATCCCATTCCAGGTTCAACTGAAGCTATCCCTAAAGCTACCTCAGCTTTCCAACTCTGCTCTCCAAAACATTTGTGGAAATCTACACCATTTTGACCAAAATTATACAGTTTTAAATAAATGCAGTTTTTATTTTATTTCCTCTTCTATTTGGGCAGCTAAGATGGCTAATTGTACTTGACTTGCAAGCCATTAGCGGTCAATCTTTAATCTGGCTTAGCAAAAACACATCAGGATGGGGACACTGAGCACCAAGAGAAAACTGTAAGTTAAGATGGATGGAATGGCCCCAAAGCATAATGGCATCCAGCCTGGCATGGCTTACTCAAGGGGGAATCTGCAGCCATCATGGCCACAAACATCCTGGGAAAATGAACATAGCACATCCTGGGATTGAAGAGAGTCTGTCAGTCACTGGACTGCATTACATGAGCGAGCCACTGACCTAATTCCCAAATCTGTTGTCCTAAAAAAGGAGGGAACTTTCCAAATAAATACCATTTGTTGCAGGGGCTCGTAACATTCTGTGTTATTTTTCCTTTGTGAAATTGAATGCGAAAGGATGCTCTTGGGAAAAGAGGCATGGGCTTAACACGAAGCAATGAAACAGTGAAAATACGATGACTCTGAAAGATGTTCCCGAACTCCAAGCATTTGTCAAGCGTTAGGCCTACGAACTATTTGTCAAGAACAGTACAACTAGTGTTGAATGATGCATCATCTGTACTGGTATACCAGCATTGATGTCAAATAGCAATATTGATGTTCAGCAGTATTGACAGATATCCATAAAAGATAACAAAAAAGATAAATAACAGACAGATAACAAAAATGTTCACTAAAATGTATGTTTTGAAAAGAACAATTCAAAATATATAATTAAATAATAAGTTTCCTTTCTGGAAATGTGGTTTCTATGGAAGCTCCTGCCAAGTAGAGGTGTTTCTGGCAGGAGTATGTCCAAATATTGACTTAGTATCTCAAAATAATTACTAATTCTCTCAGAACACTGACTTAATATATTGAAATAATGACATATTTGACAATAATTAAAGTAAGTCATTATTTACAAATAATATTATTACATTATTACAAGACATCAAGTCATTATTTTGACATATTAACTCATTGTTTAAACATAGTAAGTCATTACTTCCACATAGTGAGAAAATAAGTAATTAGTCTGACCTTGTAAGTCAATATTTTGACATACATCTGTCAGAAACAGAAGGAGAAATAATTATATAGTGATTCTTTTTCTTCTCTACCTTGTTGTAATGGGCTTCCATAGATTTCTGCCTGGTTATTGTTTGCAATACTGTGTAAGATTCCCTTCAGTGTAATTTTAAAAAAGCACAACACTCATAAACCAACCTTAGAGCCTTTTTGACCTTAATTTCCACTGTAGAAAAAAAAGCAGAGGGGTCTCTACCTTTCTCACTGACACTCTCAATCTCCACGTCCTCGCAGCTGGTGTACTCCGGGGTGGACCCTCCTTCCTCCTCTGAGCTGCTAATGGACATCTGCCTCTTGTTGAGGCCACGTTTGGGCCGGTAAGCCCTGGGTGGAGGGGGCCGGAGACATTCCGACTGGTCAGAGCTGAGAGAGGAATCTTTCCGGAAGCTTTCCGCAGCCTTCTCACGCTTGGTTTTGTGCAGTAAAGCCGCTGACCCGGGCTCCAGGTGGTCCTTGGGGCCCCAGTCCGGTCCATCCCTGAGATCTGGGGGGCCTCCGGGGCCCATACGTGGACCACTGTGACCCTGTTTTTGAAGGGGCACGTGTCCCCCACCACCACCACCACCCCCCACGGTCCTGTCCACAGAGTACGCCCGGTGGTTTTCTAATAGTGCCTTGCGATCCTCATTGGATGGCACCCTCCTGCCTAGCCGGCTGCCTGGGGCCTCGCCCCCGTCCTGAGCCAGCCCCACCTCATTGATGGCCAGGTCACTATGGTGACGCTCTTGACGCATTTTGGACACTTTGGCATGCATTCGCATCTCCTGCTCCTCTTTTTGAGGCTTGACAGGGTACCGGGCCAAGTTGGGGTCACTACGGTAACGCGTCTGGTACTCTTCCTCCCGCCGCTGACGCTCTCGCTCCTCTTCTTCCTGTCTCCGGCGCTGGTCAGGGTGGGCGGGTTCACCCTCTGGATGGTCGTATTCGTGTGAATGGCCTTTCTCTAGGCGCCTGCCTTCCCGCCTTTCCCCTGGAGCACGATCCTCTGAAGCCTGTCCTGGCAGCCTGCCTGGCCCCACCCTCCTCTCCCCTCGGCCGATCACCTTGCCATTCTGCTCATGTAGGGATACAGGCCTCTTCCTATTGGATCAGAGACAGAAATGAGGACTACTTGAGCATTCAGAGGGTCCTCGTAAAGCTAGGTCATAAATTTGCACTCCACTGCCTGACAAAGTCTTAAGTCTTAACTTAAGCTGTAAACCTGAGCATGTTCTATGTTACCAGTGTTATAACATATTTCCAGTCAGAACACAGTAGACCAACCTGGTATATTACGGAGCATAAGAGCGTATGCATATTGTTGAAGTGATACATTTAGCAGTTGCCAGTGACCCGGGTTTAATGTGTAAATGATAAGGTCCCAGAACACTTAGTAGTGATGGATCCAGCAAGATGAAGTAGACCTTACAAATAACGAATGTGTTAACAAGACTCTTAATCCTTGAAAATTCTCTAATACATTTCCCAAAACTATACAAACAGCTTCTAATACATGAGTAATTAATAAATCAATATGACAAGCCAGTGGTTTAACTCTGTGTTACTGAGCTCTTTTGAGGAAACAACAATCACAGCAGCAGTGGGCGCATTCGCGAGTGATAAACAGCGCCAGTCCTGTTTTATTAAAAGCATACGCGTGCTATGAGCAGTTTGTAGGAAATATGATCTGTCTTGATACATCTCTCCAGATGTGACCAAGTTGCTGGGTCCATTAAAACAGGAAAACCATAATTTAGTGATATGATAATTTTTTTGACATTGTGAGTTTACAAAGACCATCTGACAGTCAACCAGACAACTGGAAAATGGAGGGTCAGATCATCGATGAACTAGAATAGAATAGAATAACCAATTTCACGCAATCAGTGTAAGCCATGTTTTTAATGACTTTTACATTAAAATACAGGAAATAAGTAATTTAATGACCTGTACAATGTAACATTCAATGCCCTCCTGACAGTCTGGCAAAACTGGAGCTGAAACTTCAAAATACAGCACGTGCATTAGTAAAAACACTGCTGATCTGCTTTCATATGGACAAAATAACAAATCAAAGCCTTTCCGATGATAAATCTTCTGACCCAGCTTCAATTTAGTCAAAGCGAGGGCAACATTATTTTTTTCCCTTTCATTTTTTTAAAGGGATTACAAACAAAAGCAGTAGACCACATTCAGCATGTGAAAAATGGGTCTGCGTGAAAAGCGGATTTTGTCGCACGTCGATCGAGAAAGTGTACATCCATAAGACACAACAGCACTAAGGTGCGCTGATGCTCAACAGTGGAAACCAGATGTTCTCAGATGTATCTGTCACAGTTTTATGATCAGTAGCACAATATGAATCATGGACTCACAGTTTAGTTCCTTACTCTCACAACTGCATAACGTACATATTAGTTTTAGGGAACGGTGTGGTTATTTGACTAAATCCAAACTCATTTTACTATTCTTTTCCTTAATCTGGAATTTGAGGCATGTGTAGTCTGGAATGAAAAATAAAATAAATGATGGATTATATTTTCATTTGTAATGAAGTTTTTGACTGAGCATGTGAACTAGGACTGCAGAGAATGTTGTGATACAAGAAGCTGATATTCCATCTCACGTTAAGCGGAATAGCAAGAACCGCAGTACTTTTTCAGCATTTAATGAGTCCAATCTTTGCCTTCATTAGTGCCCATTATTTTACAGAGCTGTCTCTTATTTTCCTCAGACTTTCCACTTCCTTAAATCTTATATCTAATCCTCAGAAATATTTTTTTAGCTGTTTTAGATGCATAGGAAATACATTTGTAAGGCAGGTAAAGTGAGCTTAGGTTGTTTCTTGTGTGAATATTAGTGTCTCTTTGAAGGAGAACATAACAGCTGGTTGGTTTTAAGATTAGAAGGATGGAAGAGTTAAAGTGGCAGTAGAGTGCACTAAAGTAAAGAGTGGACGAATTAAATACTGATAGATTTGTTATTATACTTGACTGTGTTGGTGGTTTTGTGTCATTTTCTCATAAAAATATGAATTTCCTGCTTTTGTCTGATGCTAAAAAAAGAATAACTTGTACTTTATGGCTGTTTTGACTGGAAATAAAATCACTACGATTGTACATGGAAATATTTCAAACAAAAAGATGACGAATTTGTCTGGTGTCAGTTGTGCAGGTTATTGTCCTGTAAGACAACTGGTAGCATGTTCAATTACATACGGCAAACACACATAAATTGGGCACTAGCGGGCTTACTTCTCTCTTGGAGGTTCACTCCGGGCTCGTGAGGCTGGCATAGTGTCCGATCCCTTGGCCCGGTCAGCAGGTCCAGCGGCTGGTGCCTGGGTGTCAGCAGCAGCGAGGTTAGTGCCGGCGGGGGCCTGGGACCTGGAACGCAGCTTCCTGTCCCCGTCGGCCTCAGGGACGGTCACAGGAGCGCCCAGGCTCAGCGGCCTGCCCCTGGGCCCCGACGAGAACCATTCCCCAGACTTAGTGAGGATCTCCTGCTGCTTCCTGCACAGGTTGCATACCCACATCACCTGCCAAAGAGACACAGAGTAAGGAGGCGCTGAAGAGACATTCATATAGGCGGAATGTCCTTGGAATATACTCAAAAAATAAAGGTTCCTAAATAGTTCCTATACTGGTATAACCAATTATGTGGAATATTCTTTTCTTCATTATGTGGAAGTTCTTTAAAAGGTTCTTCACACTCATATCTCCACTTACAAAAGCAGAACTATCTATGAGAAGTTATTTTTTGTTATTTTCTGGTTCTTTAGGGAATCAAATTAATTTATGTCTGGTCTTTAAGTAATCATCCAATAAAGGGTTCCTTAGGGAACCAAAAATTGGTTTTCTAAGGACTTTAAAGAACCACCCACTAACCCAAAAGTGATTCGTCTAAGGGCTTTAAAGAACCATCCACTGAAAAATTCTTGAGGAGCCCAAAAGTAGCCCTTACATGGTCTTCTAAGAACCAACCCTTTAAAAGGTCTTTAAGGAACCAAAATGGTTTGTCTGTAGTCTATGAGGAACCTTCCTCTAAAAGTTTTTATGTGCCCAAAAGTAATTCTTCAGCTGTCTTTAAAGAACCATCAACTAAAAGGTTCTCATTCTATAGTCTTTAAGAATAATCTACTGAAAGGTTCTTTTGGGAGCTTTAGGGAGCCAAAATTGGTTCTTCTACAGGCTTTAAGGCACCACCCACTAACAGGTTCTCTAAGGACCCAAAAATGGATCTTCTAGGGCCTTTAAAGAACCATCAACTGAAAGGATCTTTAGGGAGCAAAAAAAATTTTTTTCATGGTCTTTAAGGAGTCATCCACTGATGTTGACTGATGAGGTTCTTGAGGAACCCAAAAGTGGCCCAGGATCTTCCAAGAACCATCCATTTAAAAGGTCTTTGAGGAACCAAAATGGTTTGTCTATGGTCTATGAGGAACCATCCACTGAAAGTTTTATTAGAGCCAAAAGTGAATCTTCAGTGGTCTTTAAAGAACCATCAACTGAAAGGTTCTCAATCTATAGTCTTTAAAAAAAAGCATCTATTTAAAGGTTCTTTTGGGAGCTTAAGGGAACCAAAAGTGGTTCTTCTAAGGCCTTTAAAGAACAATCCATTGAACAATTTTTGGAAGCCAAAGTGATTCTCCCACAGTCTTTAAAAAATAATCCTCGGAAAGGTTCTTTAGGAAGCCACAAGTGGTTCTTCTAAGGCATCGTTCCAAAGAACGGCTTTTGGCACCGCTGTTTTTAAAGAGTGGAGGTCACTGTTACTGGTGTTTAAATAATACTGGCTGTAGCTGATTATTTTTAGAACGTAAGATACGATGAAGTTGGTTTTCATTAGTTAAGGGCATCTAAATAGCCGAAACATAGCGGAAAACACAACCAGACAAGTGTCAGACTTCAAAGTTGCATGCAAAATACAACGACTACAATCATTCACATGGTCTTACACACTCTCTCACAGATACACAGACACACTCTCTCACTCATACACAACAGAGACCTTAAGTCATATGCAGGTTCCAGCAATAACATTCATCAACCTGTTATTCATTTCCTCTCTTCTCCTCCTTCCTCTCTCCTTGTCTGGCTTTAAGCTCTGATAGAGCTCTCTGATGGTTCATTTATGAGATGGATGACTGAGGCTTCCTAAAAATACCTTGGCCTGGACGATATTTCTCTTCTTCCGCTCTCTCTCTTTCGCAGTCTCTCTCTTCCTGGTGCGGATTCATTGTGGAGTCCAGCCAAGCTTGATCAGACACTATTAGCGCCGATGCTAAATCAAACAAACAGCTCCTGCCTCCTCAACACGTTTGTGGCTTTAAAAGCACGGAAGCCCAATCTATCAATCCCACTTCTGAACTCCTAAAGCACAGAGGTCCAATCTATTGATCCCACTTTAGACTTGTACAAGCACCCAAGATTGTCAGTAAATCCACTCCTATTGCAGGACACAAAGGCTGTTGGTCTGTGTCCCAGCACAGAACAGGATCGAGCAGTTTAGTAACAGGCTTGTCTTCTTGCTCCTTGTCAATGTCTTATCTCAAGGAAAGATTCATGTAGATGCTAAAATCATATAGACTACCATTCAAAAGTTTGGAATCACCTGTTGCGTGAACATTTGCTGTTATTTTATTCAATAATAATGCAGTGATTGAACTGTAAGCTAGAAAAATGTAGGTACTTTAAGACGTTTTATTTAATATTTCAAATTTTTTAGGCACTAGGGATGCACGATGACATTGGAATCATATCGGTATCGGCAGATATTTTCTTAAAAAGAGGAAATCTGCGGCCTTATACAGATGTAGAGATTGGACTAATATTTCAAACTGGTATTTGATGGTGTATTTATTCTATTCAGAAAGTTCTGGAGATACTGGGCTACTGTGTTAAATACAGTCATATGCAAAAGTTTGAACAACCCCCATCAAGTTACATGTTTCATTGATTTTCTAAGTGAATCCTCTACAGTGAACTAACTTGAATATTACACTTTTCAGCAAATTTAGTGCACAATTTCTACTTTTTTTCTGCGTTTAGCATTTTAACATTTGAAAAAAATATATAATACAAAACGTAAAATGGGCCAAACTTTTGCACAGGCCACATTTAAGGTTTTATTTTGGCACCCAATATATTACATCAGCAAATAAGCAGTAATTGTGTATTAAAATGTACAGAAGTTTGTTCCTATAGAGGATGTTTTGACTTAATTCCAGTAAACAAAATATCATTTGACCTGGGGTGTCACACAGCTGTATCTGCATTTTTTAAAATGGTACTGTATTTTTTTATTTTTTTATAAAGGCTATTTTTTCCCGTAATGCAAATCCAGGGAGATCTTGTTCCAACGTCTACATTTTATAAATGCTTATGTATTGGTATCAGCAGATAACACCAATTCCCCTATCAGCTCAACCAGCAAGAAGTTAATAAATGACACATATTTTACTGTGGTTATTTATTTACAGTAATTTCACCTTGTAGTTTGATCACCAATGTTCAAATACAAGGCATTCTGGATGCTAATTTTACTAGATCTACAGCTTTTACAGTCAGTAAGGAATCATACAGCTCTGTTCATCACTCAGGCGACTGGATCTAAAATTTCTTCATTTTTTACAGCTTCCTACATATTAGTTAAAATCTATGAAGACGGATCATAATAGAATCGATTTGTACATGTATCTTCAATGAATTAGATTTTGTATTATTTAAAAAAGTGATTCCATATTTTTGAATAGTTATTTCAAACTTTTGAACACTAAAGTGCTACAAAAAATGGTATCTTGTGAAGTGAAATGATCTTAAATCTAGTTGATATATCTAATATTTCCCATTTTGAGATGGTCTTGCACTTATTATAGATTATTTACCTTATTTCTAGACAATATTTACTTATTTTAGGTAATTTTATGAAGTAAACTTACAACAAGCAAACTTATCTGCCAGTACAGTGAGATCATTTTACTTAATAAAATTTGCTAAAATAAGTAAATAATGTCTAGAAATAAGGACATTAGTCTTAACTTACACTTACAACATTCTCTAAAGGAGCATTGTTAGATTTATTGACTATATTTAAGATAATTTTACCATTTTTTGCAGTGTATAGACGTTAACCTACCTACGTTATAGGTATTTAGTACATACATCAGTAACAACAATCATTGCCTGAGCAGACAGTGTCATCACAATCGTCCATAGCGCCTAATGCTGATCAAACGCAGACAGATTACGAAAGCCGGCACCAATATGTGCTGTAAAAACCAGGCCGCGTTTCTCTGAGAAAAAATAAAAAGAGTTCTATTTGAGGATCACCGAGCAAAACTTGACGAGAAAACAAGTTCTAGGCAGAGCACATCTGCTTCTGACAAGGAACGTGACAGGATTCGTTAAGGCCCGTATAAGCATATGGTCCATCTGAAAAACGCCAGCAGTGTGACGGCGCTAACAATCAGGCTAGGTGACTGTCGGATCTCTGAGAACTGTACTCACATGTAGGCATCCTGGTGGAGAACGGTACCCTCTTACAGGGTCAGAGGGGCATTGTGTGGCATTGTAGAAGCCCGAAAAACTTCAAAAAACAAGTAAATATCCAACAGATCGTCCCCCTAGATGAGAGAAAGTGATGGAGCTTGTTCTAGGACAGGATGGGAGTTGCCGAGAGAGAGAGATAGAGAGAGCATCATGCCCTGATTGGATCCAGTTGGCCTTGTTCCAGCGTAATCTGAGGTAAATCTGATGTCCAGAGGCCCACAGCTGTCAGGCACCCAGAGAAACCCTCCCAGGAAGGATTAGCGATCTGCGCTAATCCCACCGCCTAGTGCTACCGCTAGCCCCTTGCCATTATTCAAACTGCCAGGCATGACAATGCAGCCCCCTGGCTCTGCCCGTATGGATACACTGAGGCATGGAGGTGTTGAGACCAAGCATGAAATTGTGGACAAAACTGGAGTTGGATCGAGTTTTTTTTCCTCAAAGACAGACATTAGCATAAAACTGTTCACCTGTAGGAGTGGGACCTGGAATGAGTTTTAAGTTAAGACAACTTAAACTGTAAAACAGGGCACAAGATTTTGTATAAGAGAATAAAAGACTTGATGCTGAACAGACAGATTACTCTCCAATAACTGTGCGCAGTAAAATAATCCAGACTTTAATCCTTGAATAAGATCGAATTTGAGCCGCATGGGAGACCATTCTTCTTTTTTGCATTTTCTCAAAGGCCCGTCGCTCAAAAAGCCAGAATCATTCTGCATCTCATCTTTCTACGGCTCGCTGCTCTCTGCTGGGTACTAGACTAGTAGAACCGAAGATAAGAAAAAAAATATATATATATTAAAATGTAGGACACCAAAACCTGAATATCGTGACAGAGAGAGAGAAAAAAGGGAGGGAGAGAGATTAAACTCAACAGGCGTAAACTGTAGCCTCTGCTCGTTCCTCGATAGAGGGACTGTTGAACCTACTCTAGCAGAAGACGAGTGTAGGAGGGAATAGCTTATTGTTACACTGCCCTCCTTAC